AAAATGTTGAACATAAAATGGGGTGAGTTAAAAAACAGTGAAGAAATAATATAATGTAATTTTCTCTGTCTTATCAATATTGATACAGGCAGAGAAAATGACACTATATTGCACACATACAGAGAAAAAAACTAGCAGATAATCACCAGACAGACACCAGCTGGAAATAAAGGAATTGAGGAAGTAAGGAAGCCTAAAAGAAACCCTGAAATGAACGTTAATATGAGAGACTAAAGGTGCTCTACTGGATTACATCCATGAAATTGAACTCATTGCAAAGAACGGAGGGGATTGCAGGAATACAGTGTGAACCCGGTGTGACATACAACAGCACATCAGGACAATGATGTAGAACTTTGACAGTAGTCACGTAACAATTACAAAGTTAGTTGCGTATCCTTTACAGGAGGTTGCAGAACCAACCACATCATTTTTTTTTGCTGTTGTAGCTTTTCTAGGCAAATTTACATCCAGTAGTTTGCCATTGCTTTCTGGACAGTCGGCTTCTTGATACCACTGTCGAAAACAATGCAAGGCCCGCAGCTGGGATCAAATCTGGCACCCCAAAATGACGAAGCTCGTTCGCAATGCTTAAGCCACAAGATACCGACCACATAACAGTAAAATAGCATAGTGATGTAGAGCTTTGACAGGATGCACATAACAGCACAACAGGATAATGATACAGTACTTCAACAGGAGTCACATAACAGCACAACAGGATAATGATACAGTACTTCAACAGGAGTCACATAACAGCACAACAGGATAATGATACAGTACTTCAACAGGAGTCACATAACAGCACAACAGGACAATAATGTAGAACTTCAACAGGAGTCACATAACAGCACAACAGGACAATAATGTAGAACTTCAACAGGAGTCACATAACAGCACAACAGGACAATAATGTAGAACTTCAACAGGAGTCACATAACAGCACAACAGGACAATAATGTAGAACTTCAACAGGAGTCACATAACAGCACATCAGAACAAGGATGTAGAACTTTCACAGGAGTCACATAAAAGCACATCAGAACAAGGATGTAGAACTTTCACAGGAGTCGCATAACAGCACATCAGAACAATGATGTAGAACTTTCACAGGAGTCACATAACAGCCCAACAGGATAATGATGTAAAACTTTCATAGGAGTCGCATAACAGCACATCAGAACAATGATGTAGAACTTTCACAGGAGTCGCATAACAGCACATCAGGATAATGATGTAAAACTTTCACAGGAGTCACATAACAGCACATCAGAACAATGATGTAGAGCTTTGACAGGAGTCACATAAAAGCACATCAGAACAAGGATGTAGAACTTTCACAGGAGTCGCATAACAGCACATCAGAACAATGATGTAGAACTTTCACAGGAGTCACATAACAGCCCAACAGGATAATGATGTAAAACTTTCACAGGAGTCGCATAACAGCACATCAGAATAATGATGTAGAACTTTCACAGGAGTCACATAACAGCCCAACAGGATAATGATATAAAACTTTCACAGGAGTCGCATAACAGCACATCAGAACAATGATGTAGAACTTTCACAGGAGTCGCATAACAGCACATCAGGATAATGATGTAAAACTTTCACAGGAGTCACATAACAGCACATCAGAACAATGATGTAGAGCTTTGACAGGAGTCACATAACAGCACATCAGAACAATGATGTAGAACTTTCACAGGAGTCGCATAACAGCCCAACAGGATAATGATGTAAAACTTTCACAGGAGTCGCATAACAGCCCAACAGGATAATGATGTAAAACTTTCACAGGAGTCGCATAACAGCACATCAGAACAATGATATAGAACTTTCACAGGAGTCGCATAACAGCACATCAGGATAATGATGTAAAACTTTCACAGGAGTCACATAACAGCACATCAGAACAATGATGTAGAGCTTTGACAGGAGTCACATAAAAGCACATCAGAACAAGGATGTAGAACTTTCACAGGAGTCGCATAACAGCACATCAGAACAATGATGTAGAACTTTCACAGGAGTCACATAACAGCCCAACAGGATAATGATGTAAAACTTTCACAGGAGTCGCATAACAGCACATCAGAATAATGATGTAGAACTTTCACAGGAGTCACATAACAGCCCAACAGGATAATGATATAAAACTTTCACAGGAGTCGCATAACAGCACATCAGAACAATGATGTAGAACTTTCACAGGAGTCGCATAACAGCACATCAGGATAATGATGTAAAACTTTCACAGGAGTCACATAACAGCACATCAGAACAATGATGTAGAGCTTTGACAGGAGTCACATAACAGCACATCAGAACAATGATGTAGAACTTTCACAGGAGTCGCATAACAGCCCAACAGGATAATGATGTAAAACTTTCACAGGAGTCGCATAACAGCCCAACAGGATAATGATGTAAAACTTTCACAGGAGTCGCATAACAGCACATCAGAACAATGATATAGAACTTTCACAGGAGTCGCATAACAGCCCAACAGGATAATGATGTTAAACTTTCACAGGAGTCCCATAACAGCACATCAGAACAATGATGTAGAACTTTCACAGGAGTCACATAACAGCACATCAGAACAATGATATAGAACTTACACAGGAGTCACATAACAGCACATCAGAACAATGATGTAGAACTTTGACAGGAGTCATATAACAGCACATCAGAACAATGATATAGAACTTTCACAGGAGTCACATAACAGCACATCAGAACAATGATATAGAACTTTCACAGGAGTCACATAACAGCACATCAGAACAATGATGTAGAACTTTCAAAGGAGTCACATAACAGCAAATCAGAACAATGATGTAGAGCTTTGACAGGAGTCACATAACAGCACATCAGAACAATGATGTAGAGCTTTGACAGGAGTCAAATAACAGCACATCAGAACAAGGATGTAGAACTTTGACAGGAGTCACATAACAGCCCAACAGGATAATGATGTAAAACTTTCACAGGAGTCACATAACAGCCCAACAGGATAATGATGTAAAACTTTCACAGGAGTCGCATAACAGCACATCAGAACAATGATATAGAACTTTCACAGGAGTCACATAACAGCACATCAGAACAAGGATGTAGAACTTTCACAGGAGTCGCATAACAGCCCAACAGGATAATGATGTAAAACTTTCACAGGAGTCATTTAACAGGTTTAACTCTTTCAGTCCCAAGAAATGCAGCCAACCTTCACATGTTCATACCCAGAAGCCCAATGAAGGCAACATTTTATGTCTCTTTACTAACCCTTGGGTTTCTGATGCTAAGCCACTACCGGCTCCAGCTGACGAGCCATGCTGCTTACGTCACTGGGTAGGGCTAACGATGCGTTAATGCAGCAGTTCTCAAACTGGGTGCCAAGGAACCCAGGGATGCCGCGGCAATAATCAAGAAAACTCGGCTAAAAATTTTGAAATTATTAAAGAAGGCATGTAGATACTTCAAAGTTTAAATTGTTAGTTGTCTTCCCTTGCCCCTGTTGAAAATAGTTTATTTCTGGTTTGAGAACCGCAACGTAAACGCAGCATTAACCTGACCCGGTGACGTCAGCAGCATGGCCAGTCAGCTGGAGCCAGTCGTGGCTAAACCCCCCTGGGACCGAAAGAGTTAACAAACAGATCACAGAATTCAAAGACTCACATGGCCAGCAAGTCCTCATCTGCATAGCTTGGCTTGTTTAGAACCTCCACTGACGTGTAAGTGGGCGGGTTATATTCCGGATACTCTATCTGTTGGAAGAAGTCAAACAAAATGTCAACACTTGCACAAGATGTGAACCTACCAATCAGCACTCAGTTGTTGATGTGGTCAGTATCTTGCCAGCCAGATATTCTTCCCCTGTCATTTCCTGCTACCTATTATTGACGGAATTCCCCTGAGAGCCTAGACCAATTAAAAAAATCTCCCAGTGTGGTTCCAGAGCTCCACTTTAGAAAACAAAGAATAGGCCCACAGCCCTGCTAACAAGCATGTTGGAGGCGAATAATTATGGGTTTTCTTTCAAGTCTGAGTGCATCTGCCTGAGAGGAAAGGAATCAGTCGTCTGTATACTCAAATAAGCCAGATCTGTAAAAGTGATGCGCATGCAAAGCTCCATTTCTGGATCAAGACCAAAGTCCAAGTGTGAATGGACAACCAGAACTTCATGCCAGCGTTTACGGCTGGTGAACGCAAAGAAGAAGATGAAGCAGAGTTTATGCGAAGAAGAAGAAAATGAATTTAACAAAATCCCCTTTCAATGGAGATTCAAACCTTGGATTGTGGGGCCAGAAGGCAAACAGGTGCATAATATCTTCTTCTTCTTCTTCTTCTGCTTTTCTAACCCCCAATGGAGCACAGACCCTCAACCAACTCACGCTCCAGACAAGGGTACAGATTTGACATCAGAAGTAAACATTTTAAGCTTAGTAATAGTTTTAATTTCTTTTGACCTCCACAAATTTCTAGCGCTTTCATATTTTAATATCTCTATCTGTTCTCCCATACTTATCTTCATAACAGTCCAAATAGGTGTACAACTCAATGTCTTGGAGTGGGATACCATTAATAGAAATCATATTACTATTTGCCTGATTTATTCTCATTATCTTTGTCTTTTCCTTATGGATTTTCAGACCTAGCTGTTGCGATCTCCCATCAAGTATATTTAATTTATCTTGCATCTGATTCCGTCAGTGGGACAGAAGAGAAATATCATCAGCGAGGTCCAGATCATCAAGCTGTTTTGTAGGGGTCCACTGAATTCCATTCTTGGTGTTAGCAGATACTGGTATACTAAACAGTAAATGGAAATGAATCATGTGTATGAAAATGTATTAACTGTATAGAAACCGCAACCAAAACTCACACATATACACACACGTACATGCACATACATGTACGTGAATACTGATGCACACATCTTCTATGCAGACACACAGACTTATGCATGAATAAACACATATAAACACGCCTACCTCCCAGAGTGTTTTTTCATCCGGAACATGGAACCTCATAATTTTAGTGCCAGGGTAAGGTGACAACCTCGATTTGTAATGTGTCAGAATCTTCTTCTCCAGGAGGTCTTGAACCAGTTTCCTTTCTCTTTCCTCGCGAGCTTTCCGTCTCCTCAACTCTGCAGAAGACAACCAAGTCATACATTCTCCTTAAAATTTGGTATATTCTACCTTCTGAACACTAGTTCTCTCCCTGTGTGGGTTCTGGGACCCCGTTATGGCGGAAGACAAGAGCAGACCCATTACCTCCATTGAGTCCAATAACTGGGGGTTTCCTTTAAAGTTGGAGTGCATCTTCCTGACAGACAAGGAACCAAAAGTCTGAGAACAAATAAGCTAGACATGCAGAATGGACAGGCATGCAAAACTTAAGTTCTGGAACAAAAATAAAGTCTAGAAGTGGCTGAACAACCAGATCTTTCTACTGAAGTTTACAGCCGGTGAACACACAAAAATAATAATAATAAGAAGAAGAAGAAGAAGAAGAAAAAGAAGAAGAAGAAGATTACAAGTTTTTAAAAGTTATGTAAAAAATGTGTGAATAAATCACTATGAAGCATTTCTTCTTCTTTTTAATAATTCTCTTGTCTACCACTTTAGGTGTAAAGTTGAACTGAACTGAATCAAGAACTAACATCACAACACTTATGGACATTTCCATATGAGTTATGTCCTCATCTTCAGTAGCCAATAAAGAGTTATTTTATCCCCTGTTCACTCACTGCTGTACCATTCTCTCTACACTCTAATGATCTATTCGCATTCCTACATTCTTCACTTGCTTCCAAAGGACCATGACCATATCTAGTTTGTCATGCATCAAGGCAGAACCAGTTAATCTATCTGCCTGTTAATTTCTGAAAACACCTGCATGCCCTGGAGAAAATATCAAAAGAACGCTAACTACCAAGGACCTCTGAAACAGTGCTTGTCAACCTGAACGGAGCACATGTTTCTTATCATGCTTTGTAATTCTGTTAAATCACAACATGCACATGTAGCCAGTGAAAAACTGATGTGATTGCCTCCACCTCCATTCTCAAGCTACATAATCTGATTTCATATCCTCAGCATTGCCTTGCTTAGTAACATCCATTTACTTTTGCAATGAAGGTCTACAGTTTACAAACTTACAATAGAGATCACAGATGTTCAATATGGACACTGAATCACAGCTGCAGTAGAATCACAGATAAATAGATACTTTTTCATGTGTGGGATGAGTTCGGCTACCGTTTAGATATTTGCTGAATAGCAGATGGCGGCCATATTGAATATCTTCATCCTCTATTGTGAGTTTGTAAACTTTAGACCTTCCTCTCTCTCTCTCTCATATGCATGTAATAAATATGTAATGTATATTCAAGGAAATATACATGAATGAAAGTGTATCTATAATTTTGAATAACCCTCTCTCTCTCTCTCTCTTTCTCTCTCTCCCTTTCTCTATCTCTCTTCTCTCTCTCTCTCTCTCTCTCTAACTCTCTCTCTAACTCTGTGTGTGTGTGTGCGTGCATGCGTGCATGTGTTTGTGTGTATATATATATATTCATATAAAAAAATAAAAATAAAAGAAGCATCAATGAGTTCAATATTTGGGCTATTTAATATTTGTCTGTCTAGAACTAAAATCCTACTCTCTGTGCAGGTTCTAGGACTCCATTCTGGAGAACAAAGAATAGACCAACTGTCCCCTTAACAAGCACGTCACAGGAGGCGATTAATTAGGGGTTTTTCCTTGAAAATCGGAGTGCATCTACCTGAAGGGCAAGGAACCAACAATCTGCATTAAAAAAGCCAGATCCGTAAAATGATATGCAATGCGAAACTCAAATTCTGGATGAAGGTCAAAGTCCAGGAGTTGGAAAACAAACAGAACATTCAAAGTTTACTGCTGGTGAATGCTGTGAGAAGAAGAAGAAGAAGAAGAAGTGAAGTGAGCTAAGCAGGAATGACAATATTCTAATAAATAAATCTGTTTAATTATATTTAAAGTATTATTCACTATGTCTAACTACTTTATTTTAGTGTCAAAGAAACAAGAAACTAGAATGATGTTTATAGGATGCAAATTATACACGAATGATATGTGATTATGAAAAATATGGCTTAAAATGTATAGTGCTATAAAAATATATGTTTATTGTTGTCTACATTTTATTGTATTTAGCTCATCACATCAATAAAGCGTTCTACTTCTTCATTCATCCTTAAAGGGCGGGTGGGACATTTTTTTATGGTTTACAACTAACCTTAAAGGGCGGGTGGGACATTTTTTTATGGTTTACAACTAAGCTTAAAGGGCGGGTGGGATATTGTTTTATGGTTTACAACTAACCTTAAAGGGCGGGTGGGGCATTGTTTTATGGTTTACAACTAAGCTTAAAGGGCGGGTGGGGGCATTGTTTTATGGTTTATAACCCAGCCTAAAGGGAGGGGGGGGGTGGGGCATTGTTTTATGGTTTACAACTAAACTTAAAGGGCGGGTGGGGAATTGTTTTATGGTTTAAAACTAACCTTAAAGGGTGGGTGGGGCACTGTTTTATGGTTTACAACTAAGCTTAAAGGGGGGTGAGACATTGTTTTATGGTTTACAACTAACCTTAAAGGGCAGGTGGGGCATTGTTTTATGGTTTACAACTAACCTAAAAGGGCGGGTGGGGCATTGTTTTATGGTTTACAACTAAGCTTTAAGGGAGGGTGGGGCATTGTTTTATGGTTTACAACTAAGCTTAAAGGGCGGGTGGGGCATTGTTTTATGGTTAACAACCCAGCTTAAAGGGAGGGTGGGGCATTGTTTTATGGTTTAAAACTAACCTTAAAGGGTGGGTGGGGCACTGTTTTATGGTTTACTACTAACCTTAAAGGGAGGGTGGGGCATTGTTTTATGGTTTACTACTAACCTTAAAGGGCGGGTGAGACATTGTTTTATGGTTTACAACTAACCTTAAAGGGAGGGTGGGGCATTGTTTTATGGTTTACAACTAAGCTTAAAGGGCGGGTGGGGCATTGTTTTATGGTTAACAACCCAGCTTAAAGGGAGGGTGGGACATTGTTTTATGGTTTACAACTAAGCTTAAAGGGCGGGTGGGACATTGTTTTATGGTTAACAACTAAGCTTAAAGGGCGGGTGGGACATTGTTTTATGGTTTACAACTAAGCTTAAAGTACAGATTGGACACTGTTTTATGGTTTTCAACTAAGCTTAAAGTACAGGTGGGACATCGTTTTATGGTTTACAAATAAGCTTAAAATGCGGGTGGGACATTGTTTTATGGTTTACAACTAAGCTTAAAATGCGGGTGGGACATTGTTTTATGGTTTACAACTAAGCTTAAAGGGAGGGTGGGGCATTGTTTTATTATTTACAACTAAGCTGTAATATCTACCCTTTCAACCCATCTCATCTGATTAATAAATCCTTAATCAGGCACCTTTTATGACATGCTTGTAAGGTAGTGGGTCTATTCTTTGTTTACTCAAAAAGTGCCAGTTTGTCAGTTAAACTTTCATCAGTTAGGATCTTCAGTAAAGCCACAGTTCAAAATACGAAATAAAATGTAAAATGTTATCAGAAAAGAGGTCAACTAAGCAATTTATTTGAACTTTTCAGCAGAAAAGAGGCCAGAATATAATCACCAATTATCAAAAGGAGTTTTTTAAACAGAAAATCACTTTCGTCATGGAATGCCTGAATGTCTATCTCTAGCCATTTTCCCAGCGCTGTGTGCTTTCAAAGCCAATGAATCCAATGTCCTATATTCGACTTTTCAAAGGTTAGCCTTTGCCTCGTTTTTCAGAAACTGTAACCTCCAAAACAATTTTTCTTGTTCAGAGCACCATGATGTTCATCATGGCCAAAACACCTCAGCTTTTGAGAGAGGATACAGTTTATGAACCAATTCTCCTTGATGTTCAGGTGAAGTATGTGGATGTTTTTTTTGTGTTTTAGATCCTCAGTATTCTGAGCATTTTTCTGTAAATATTGAAATAAAAAAGGTCCAATTTTTTTAAACAATGACTGAGTAAAAATCCATGACTCAAATCCACAGGTTGGCATAGGAAAGATACACAATCTCAAAAATCTTCCTTTAATCCATTTACATGTGCCACAGGTTCTTCTTGCTAAAATGTAATCAATTGTCACAAATAATATTTACAGGTAATGGGAAAAAAAAATGACTCTTAAAGATTGTCAATGCAAAACCACGGCGAGCTCCAGATACAAGGTCGTACAACTCAAACAGGAATTCCCGTTTTTGTGAGGCTTGGATGGCCAGTCAGTGGTAACAATTTTAATCGAGTAGATTTATACACATATTAAACTATAATTTAATTAATTTGCAACATGAGTTATTGAATGAAATATTATTTTAAAGATAAATAAATGGGTTATTAGAAAATATTCATTATCAAAAGGATCATTCAAAAACACGTTGCAAAATAATTAAACTGTAGTTCAATTTGTGTATAAATCTATTTGATAACAATTGTACCACCGACCGGCCATGCCAGCGTCACAAAAATGGGAATTCCCATTTGAACTGAACGACCATATATCTGGAGCTGGCCATATGCAAAACTAACAGAACAAATATAAAAAAGTCACACTAAAGAGTGCAAAAAGGTTTTGAAAAACCAAACTAGTTTAGAGTAAAGTTTGTTTTGAAAGAAATTCTAGCAGTGGCTAAAATAATTTAAAAAAAAACAAGCACCAAAAGCAATGAGCAAAAATGAATTTATGTTCAAAGCATAGAATAGTGAATTTTTTCAAACATAATACAGGATAACTGAAAAAGTCACACAACCCCCCACCCCCAGGCAGGAAAACTATCTTTAACTTATGCATACACAATTAAAGTGAAATTGAAGGAAAAAATATCTGAAAATATATTTATCAATAAATGCAAATAATTAAAACACTACTGTACAAAGATGTGAATAAGTTAATGCCAAAAAAGATACACAATTAATTTTGACTCCCACAAAAACTGATCTTTCTGACTAGCATGTATTGATAAAAAAAAAAAACATTGATTCACAAGCATTTTTAAAAAAGGAGGGGGGGGGGGGGGGGGGGGGGGGGAGAGAGGAAACTCTGCATCTTTGATCAGTCCAAAGGTTTTGTCACAAGAAGTTTTTCATAAGGTTTAGTTGCACTCCAGGTTTCAAAGCCATTTAGTTTGCACAAATTACACAGCAAAATTTTGTAGGACTGGAAGAGTCCACATTTTCAAATTACCTCAAATGACAAGAAATCAACAATGTATGTGCCGTATCCACAATGAAGGTTGGTTACAGTGCACCACTTTTGTCTTTTGAAAAATTATGTGATGATGCCCCAATCTCTTCCACAGTGTGGCTTTTCTATAACCATGAGAATGGTTTTATGTTAATTTATTCCCAGTCCATTTGGGAAATTAACGTTAGCATTTGAGAATCAAGAAATTGTTAACCGCAATCATTGACCTCTAAGCCATTGAGCCACATATTACGCCATGTGACATTTAAAAATATTTAAAAAAAAAAAAAAAAAATTGCTGTATTCTACACTGTTCAATAGATCAAACTTACAAAATCTGGTCATGTTTAGAAAACAGTTTTTGAGAGAGTCAGCCACACAGCAAACATACAATTCAAGGTATGGTAACATACATACATACTCAGTTCACACACACAAGTACAAGAAAAACACTATAATGATTAAAATAGTAGCAGATGATGTCACCACTCGAAAAGGACATATACACTTACTTCTTGATTTGGCTACATAAAAAAAGTAAGAATACAAACAGGTAAAAAAATGAGTGAAGAAAACTACTGTAAAGAAAAATATTAGGTAAATATCCTCATACTTATTTCCTTCTCCGTTTTGTTGATGTGTGAATGAGGAGGGACAACTGAAATTATTGTTTAACACATATTATTTAAAATTACAGATTATCTGGCAATTAGTACAGGAAGTCCATAATTTGTACTATAGTTATCATATTTTCATATGTGCTAACATATGAGCAGCCAGTATGGAATTTTTGAGTTTCATTTAATTTTAATTGAAAATCTGGCCATGTTTCATTAAACAAGAAGAAAATTTTACCAGTCAAATCAAAATAATACTAGATTATGATAATCATCATCATCATAAACCACTTCTGCTGTTAAGCGTCATAGGGAGGAATAATTTGCGATCCAGTGCTTGTTGGCTGCCACTGGCTATTGTCATGCCGTGAAGGCGTAGAGTGTCTTTAATGTTGTTGATCCATGTTTTCCGCGGCCGTCCTCTTGCTCTTGTAGTTGGTCTTCTGAGATGTAGTGCTTTTGATGGTATTTCATCTTGCTGCATTCTAACAAGATGGCCAAACCACTTGATCTGTTGTTTCTCGATGAATCTAGTACAAGGTGTCGTTCTAACAATTTGCCTGCTAGTTTCATTATTCACTCAATCTCAGATGGTTAGGTTGGCTGCTTTTCTTAGGCACCTCATCTCGCAGGTGGTGATTTTGCGTGTATAGGCTTTAGATAGTGTCCATGTTTAGCACTGGTAGCTTAATATTGGGGTGAATATGCTATTAATAATCTGTCTCTTTGCACTCATAGTTATGTTTGGATGTGTTAATAAGGTTGACAATGGTGATTAGATTTTGATGCCGGAAAGTATTGCAGATTAACTTTATAGAGTTAAGATTTACTGGCATTTTGTTTTTTTTGGAACTCAAAGAGTTAAAGAGGCAGACGCATCCAGGGTGATACAAACCTTTATCAGATCCCAGTGCCATAAGCTTTACAAGGGTAAAAAAATGCAAAAGCTGTCACTACTGTATTGTCCCCTTCTCAGGGCTGTTAAGACAATCAGTACTGTTATAAGAAGTGGAAACACGGAGAACAATCAAAGCAATGACTAATAAACTACCAACATTCATTAACTGGTGCCTGCGCAGAATAGAGAGAATTAAATGGTGTGATAGAATCACTAATGTAGAGCTTCTGGAGAGAACTAAACAAGCTCCAGTGAACCAAGAGGTGGGCAAAATATGCTGGCGTGGATAGGACACATGTTGGGAAAACTTGAGAACAATATAACTAGAACGCCCTTGCTCTGGAACCCACAGGGGCATAGTAATGGAGGAAGACAAAAAAATGGAGAAGGGAGCTAGAGAGGGAAGTTAAAAAGATGAGTAGGACATGAGGAGAGCTGCAAGCAAACGGGAAGGATAGAACGACTTGTAGTGTGTTGGTTGAGGGCCTTTGCTTTTTTAGGGGGTTAGAAAGGCAGAAGAAGATGGGGGAAGAGATCATGAGCCTGAAGATTCAGAGCTGCATGGCTAGTACTGTCGCCGACAGGCTGTGCAGGTTAGGATGTTGAATTTTTGCCCCTCACAGAAAAATCTAATCACCTTACCAGGGCTCGAACCAAGGTAACCCTCATGAGAGCCCGATGTAACAACAGGAAATAATAGCCTAAGCAAAGGATCCTTTTCATGCCGCTGACGTGTGAGGCAAATGGTGCTAAATCCATTTCTGGACTGGACTACTGGTGAACAACACGGTCAACATTGAGGACATTTCCTGCTATCTAATTTAGGCCAGCACTTCCTGCCCAGTATGGAGGACTAGGCAAGGCAGAATGTTTAGCTCCAAAGTTATTTTTGCTTCTGACAGGGCTTCACTAATGCAGTTTCCAGATATGGATGGAAGTGTACAGTTTCATTGCTGAGGTTACCGAGTTGAGTGCTTGGTGCAGCACTGTGAGCTGTGTTTTTTCATACAGAATACCTCTCATTTGTGGAGCAATTGTTTTGTGGTATTTAGTATGGGCAGTAGCTGGTTTACATGTGGGTTGTTGAAATACTACTTCCATCAATAGCAAACTGTATTTCTGGTGGTGACTGTCGGCGCTGGTACCTCCAGCAACTGCCTTATGCATTTATTGCATGAGCATATATAAGATAACTGAACTCAATGTCCAGAGAGTGGTTAGGGTAACTTACTCATATTTCATTCTACAAACCACATGTCTGAAAGTCTTGCTGATTCAATCATAATGCAGTCCACTACATAAACTAAATTGATTTCAGTTTGAAAATTAAATCACATTATAAACAATAATGATAAATACCTGCCCACAGTAACACAACAACAAAAATGATTATAATAATGTAAAAAAACACCAAAAAATTAGCACATATGAACAGCAGGTTCTGCTCTCGAAAAAGGATACTTAATTTGCAAGTAAATAACACATTAAGCCACTTAACTCTTTGCGTCCCAGAGGGTTTAGCAACACAGGCCCAAGGGGTAGTCAAAAGAGTCGTAAAATCGGCGCATCATGCGTTCATTGGGCTTCTAGGCAGTAACCTATGAACGTTTGATGCGTTCCTTGGGACTCAAAGAGTTAAAATTTAATTCTAAAAATTACAACAATTTACTCAAAAACAAAAAAAATACACATTCATAAGAATAACACATTTATCTGTATTGTGTTAATGTAAATTTGCTTAAATTATGCACACAGATTTCTCACCATCTTCCTTTTGCTTCTGCAGATCTGGCAGCATCGGCCTGTCTGTTTTGGCAGCCATATTGTTTTCTTGTAATGAGGTCATGATCCATTCCAAAGCCTTGGTGGTGTGGATGAGCTGAAAAGATAACACAAACCACCGAGACATAATCTTCTTTTTTCTTTACGTTCAAAGGCTGTAAACACCGGCAGAAAGTTCCTGGTCCATCTCTGGACTTTAGTCTTGTTCCAAAATTTTAGGTTTCAGGTTTTGAACAATGGATCAACATCATGGCACATGGGTGTAACCATTAAGTGCTACAGTCTTCTTCTAACTCAAGTCTGAGTTCGAAGCTCAGCACAGTGCACAGGCTATGTAGCAGCAGCGAAGATCCTGAAATACTTTGGGAAGGTTTCAAACTCCAAATTCACTACCCAGAGACCAGGAGGAAAAAGTCCAAGTGAAAAAATATCAGCCTTACCTGGGACTGAACCTGGAACATCTAGCACTCGAGGCAGACACCATGCTTTGAGACCACACAGCCCCCCTCAAGAATTCAAGTGTTTTGTGCACATCAGTTCAACAGATCTGACCTAACTGTATGCAGATTGTTGGTTTCTTGCCTCTCAGGTAGATGCACTTCGACTTCGAAGAAAGCACCCAATTAGTCGCCTCTTAGGACAGGCTTGTAGGGTAGGCAGTGGGTCTATTCTTGTTTTCTTTACAGTGGCGCCCCAGAACCCACACGGGGATGAGACATAAGAAATGTGAAGCTTTTGAATCCTCTAGCGTCAATACAAATACGTGGAATGCTGCTGCTTAGAACTGATCTTGGTTGAGACCAGTGAGGCAGCAACAATCACATTGCAAAACAGCTGAGACATACTGAAAAAATATGTTTTGAAAACCCATATTTTGGCACACCACATCACTGATGAACATTCTGGGCTTGCACAGACCTCATATACATTTTTAAGTTGTCCCCATGAAATTTTTTTTATTATTTCAAGCAGCACCCTGGCTTCTGCCGGAAGCCCTAAACATGGCCTAGGTCATAGATATGGCCTAACAGCTGAACAGGGTTTCTGGGACCTCTCCAGGGGTGATCCTCATCCACATGGTGGCACTTTGTGTCACCAAGTGTTTATTGCTTTGTGTGATGTCCTACAACTACCTACCTGCCTACCTGACCTCATCAATTTACTCTTATTTACTCTTTTCATCCACTGTCTTGCTGTGCCATTATGTGCAGTGCTCGCAGTCTGTTTTTCCATTCAGTTCTATCTTATGCAATCCCTTCAACATCATGGAGGAAATACAGTACATCACCTCTGACCTCTCTCATCAACATTTACTTTAGAGTGGCAAGCTTCACTGGGAAGGTCTAGGGTAGTGAGCATACTTTGAATCTTTTCTCCAGGCCATGCCGGCATAGCGGGTAATAAACAGGCAGACAGATTGGCTGGATCTGCACTACTGGGTGGTGAATTGATACAAGACAAGGCAGATGTGGTCAAGGCCCTTTGGGAACAAGCAACAGAATCAGTACAAAAATGAGATTATTATGGCCTGGAGAGAATGAGGCACCTGGGTATAACCAGAGGGTCTGGCCAGCTCACCACACTCAGAGGAAAGGCAAGACAGACAAATAACCAGATTGTGACCAGTACCATCAGTATTGGAACTCTGCGCTGGCTGCTGAAGATGAGGACAGAGCACACATGGGAACGCCCTGAGTGCTGTGATGTCAATTCTTGACTCGACTCAACACAACTCAACATTCATTTCAGGTTGTTTTTAATGCCCTCACTTCCTCAATTTATTTATTCTCCATTTGAGTCAGTGTCTGTTGATTCCTGGATGTGTCTAACATAGTGCCTTCTTCTTTGTCTTATGCCTGTTGTTACGAGTAGCTGCCTAGATATTTCTCTTATTTCTTCAGGCCTCTTGAATTTATCCTATTTTATGTTCAACATTTTTTTCAGGCTTTTGTTTTCAAAGCAGAGTCACCGTGGCAGAGCGGATAGATCGGAAGGTCGTGAGTTCGCTCCCTGGTGGAGCCAGACATTTTTTTTCAAAAATGACTTTGGTTCCCAGGTCGACCCATCCTTGAATGGGTACCGGGTGCAATCCTAGGAAGTAGGGGCGGCCGGCGTGATGCTGAGCACATCACCCATCTTGTGCCGATTGGTCTATAAAATATAGGTCTAGCCCTATATGCCTAAAGATGTGGAGAACGATCTACTTTTTTTTTTTCAAGCAGTAAACTTGAAATGTTCCTTGATTATCTTCTTCATCATTGTTTGTCCAAGCGATGTAAATGTGCCTGTTTACACCATAGTTGTGATATCTGTGCCTTTCAGCCGATACAAACAGCATTTTTAGGCATTTGTTTTTCAGATTAGAATTTCCAGACAGTTTTGTGGGACATTAAGGGGAGTTTCCAGACAGTTTTATAGGACATAAAGGGACATTTAGCCACCTCATTTGTGTGGGAGTTTCATCATCCTCTGATCTACAGGTATTTTCCTCCAGAGGACCCATCCAGGACAGCCGTGTGCAGTCTCAGGGAGAGGCAGTGTTAGAACATGTACATTCCCCATTATGGGGTAGAACATGGACATTCCCCATTATGGGGTAGAACATGGACATTCTCCATTATGGGGTAAAACATGGACATTCTCCATCATGGGGTAGAACATGGACATTTCCCATCATGGGGTAGAACATGGACATTCCCCATCATGGGGTAGAACACAGACATTCCCCATCATGGGGTAGAACATGGATATTCTCCATTATGGGGTAAAACATGGACATTCCCCATCATGGGGTAGAACATGGACATTTCCCACCATGGGGGTAGAACATGGACAGTCCCCATCATGGGGGTAGAACATTGACATTCCCAAATATGGGGTAGAACATGGACATTTTCCATTATGAGGTAGAACATGGACATTCCTCATTATTGGGTAGAACAGGGACATTCCCCATCATGGGGTAGAACATGGACATTCCTTATCATGGGGTAGAACATGGACATTCCCAATCATCCAAGAGGGCTTCCCTAACTAAAGAGCCGAAACATGGGGCTCTGGAACTGAGCTCACTCAAAGAATCATCCATATTTCACATGACTGCTTGACCTCACATTCATATATATAGTTCCTTGGTTAAAAAAAAAAGGTAAGTAAAGATCCCTCTTCATGCCTAAGGCAAATCGGGCACATGGGAAGAGCACCCATATTTTTACAGACCAATCGGCACTAGGTGGGTAATGTGGTTAGCATTATGCCGGCCGTCTTTACTTCCCCAGGACATACATCCTGGTACCCATTTTAGGCTGGGTCGACCTGCGCTGCCTCATACCATGATAAAAATCCATGCAGCCAGCAGTGGGTTTTGACAGTGGTAAGTTTTCCTTGGTAAAATATGAGTAAAATCGCCATGTTTTTATAGTAATATTCCTTTCTATGAAATGAATTAATTTACCTGGTTTTCTAGAGTCTCCATTCTCTTATGAATATCTGAAGGCAGCTTGGCTGCGGCTGAATCTGCAGACTGGATTTGGTTAGACATGGTTGATGAGACCTGGCTCTCTTGCAACTCCTCCACTTTAACCAGGAGCACTTCCAACCTTGTAAGTTGATTACAAAAAAAATGTGTAAATATGAAAAATAATCACGATAAGCAAAGAATGATGTATGAATTCCTCAAAGCTTTACTGCAGCCAGATTTCTTTAGCACACTTAGACCAAAATGAGACTTCTGGTCCAACGTGGAAGACTAGGCATGGCAGAATGTTTAGCTTCAAAGTTATTTTTGTTTCCGACAATCCTTTGCTAATGCAGTTTCCACGTATGGACCTACTGAGTTTAGTGCTTGGTGCAGCACTGTGAGCTGTGTTTTTCATGTGGAATGCCTTTCATTTGTGCAACAGTTGAGTCGTGGCATTAATATGGCTGGTAGCCAGTTTACGTGGGAGTGGGTGAAATGTCTTATGTAATAATTTTACGTGTGTATAGCCAAATTATTGTGACCGACTACTTCCATCAAAGACAAACTGCATTTCTAATGGTGACTGTTGGCTTTTCGTGCATCTAGCAACTGTAATATGCATTTACTGTGTTGTATATTTCTGGATTGTTCCTGGACTAATTGTTTGCTCACCAGTTTTACAAATGCGACAGTGGGGCACATTTCATTTGGGTTTTCACTGGCACAGGAACAGAGCAAGAACAAATTAAAAAAAAAAAATGATTCACTGAATGAATGATTCACTGAATGAATGATTCACTGAATGAATTCTTCACTGAATGAATGCTTCACTGAATAAATGATTCACTGAATGAATGATTCACTGAATGACTGATTCACTGAATGAATGATTCACTGAATGAATGATTCACTGAATGACTGATTCACTGAATGAATGATTCACTGAATGAATGATTTACTGAATGAATTATTCACTGAACAACTGATTCACTGAATGAATGATTCACTGAATGAATGATTCACTGAATGACTGATTCACTGAATGAATGATTCACTGAATGACTGATTCACTGAATGACTGATTCCCTGAATGAATGATTCACTGAATGAATGATTCACTGAATGAATTATTAACTGAATGAATTATTCACTGAATGAATGATTCACTGAATGACTGATTCACTGAATGAATGATTCACTGAATGAATGATTCACTGAATGAATGATTCACTGAATGAATGATTCACTGAATGAATGATTCACTGAATGACTGATTCACTGAATGACTGATTCACTGAATGAATGATTCACTGAATGAATGATTCATTGATTTACCACTGATCACCCATTTACTAAAATCCTTAAAAATAATCACATATTATCATACAATATACAGTCTCTTGTACAAAAACAGCGCATCACACAAACACATGAATGAACTACCACTACTGATTCACTGAATGACTGATTCATGAATTTGCCGCTGATCACATGTTTACTTTAACCCTTAACTCTTTGAGTCCCAGGGAGCGTATCATATGTTCATAGGTTTCTACGTAGAAGCCCGATGAATGCATGATACGTCGATTTTACTCTCTCTTTACTATCCATTGGGCCTTGGATGCTAAACCCCATGGGACTCAAAGAGTTAAAACCAATAACTTATTAACATGAAAGTAAAAAGTTTTTTTTTTTTTTTTTAGAAAAAAGGTGCCTGTACTCGTCGCAAGGTGTCTAATAAAAGGTCTACAAAGTGTCCATTATAATAGTGTCAAACAAAAGGTGTGCCTTAAAAAAAAAGGTGCCATATGGCGTACCATTGTGAACTGTAACAAAATAAAAGCCCTGGTCTCTCACACAAACACATGCCACACATTTTACAGGCATCCCATGACATTTGTGAATAACACCAAGAGTAAATTACCTTTCCATTATGGACTTGACTCGCCCAGCGATGCTGTTTCTCTCGGTCTTCTCGGTTGAGCTCAGGTAACTGTCAGCGATGACATTCTCCCACTGCATCAGCTGTTTCTCCTCCAGCTTGCTCTTGAATACCTTCCCTGTAAAGTTTAATGAAGTCATCTCCACTTCTTATAGTTTAGCTGCCTGAGCTACTGAGTTTAGTGCAGCACTGTGAGCTGTGTTTTTCATGTGAAATGCCTTACATTTGTGCAGCGACTGTGTCATGGTATTCAATATAGCTGGTAGCCGGTTTACATGTGAGCTGGTGAAATACCTTATTTAATAATTCTACGTGTGTACATCCCAAGGTAGAAGAGGAGCGACTAACTAAGTAAGTAAGTGAATAGCCAACTTATTGTGCCCAACTTTATCGTACCTAGCTACTTACATCAATGACAAACTGAACTTCTGGTGGGGACTGTTGGCTTTGGCACCTGTAGCCACTGCCATTTGCATTTACTGTGTGTGCACATTTCTGGATTGTTCTGGGATGAACTGTTTGTTCAACAGTTTTTCAGACGGGACAGTGAGGGACATTTCATTTGATTTTCACTGGCACCGGAACGGAGCAAAAAAGTGAAGGTGAAACTTCAACTAAGACTAAGACCTCTTTTTCTACCTTTCTATGAGAAAGCTTCAAATAAAAACCCAAGAAGTGGGACAGAAAATACAATAACCATGTCCACTGTCTTGTAGCCTATCAATACTGTTGTTAAGGATGTCAAGAATTTTAAGCCCGTGACATCATGGTGCAGAGAGAAATGGAGATGTCTTGAAAGACATTGACTCATAAAGTGAACTGAGCGCCCACATAAAGAAGACAATGTAAAATTCTTTGGTAACACCATGAGAACAGGAAATTTATTTATTCCTGATAGTGGGAAAGTTGGAGGGGAAAAGTGGCAGAGTGTGATGACCCTGCTTTGCATGGTCTCCACGAGTACATTGTGGCAAGCAGGAAGTCCGTGCTACAAGTCACGGCACGAGATACTTGTGGCCGGTGGAGTAAGCGAGGGGAAGCCCGAGCTAGACTCGTGGTCAGTCGATCATCAGAAGTCAGAGAAGACGGTGTAGAAAGATGTCGTCTTTATGTTGCGCAAATGTTTACGAATATGTCGCGAGTGATTGTGAATAATGTCCATGTGAAATAAATGGACCAGAATGACAGAATGTACCAAGAAGCTGAGCGGCGTTTGTGTTGTCAGATGTTAAAGCTGGTGCAAACCAAGGTGTCTACGTCAAGGTTCATTCCAAGCAGACCATGATTCATTCCAAGTTGAATCAGAATCATTTCAAGATAGTTGAAAGCGTAATTTCAAGTCTACGTTTCGCTTCATTTCACAGAGGAAGACGGCGAGAAGAGGCTGGGCAGTTAATATCATGGCACTGAAGATCATCTGTGTCAGAGTTGATTTAAAGTACATGCGACAGAAGGTTGTGAACAGACATGACTACCAACGCCACACGGCATGGACTGTGGAAGATCATCTATGTCAGAACTGATTGAAAGTACACGCAACAGAAAGTTGTGAACAGACATGACTACCAACGCCACACGGCATGGACTGTCGAAGATCATTTGTGTCAGAACTGATTGAAAGTACATGCAACAGAAAATTGTGAACAGACATGACTATCAATGCCACACAGCATGGACTGTGGAAGATTATTTATATCAGAACTGATTGAAAGTACATGCAACAGAAAGTTGTGAACAGACATGACTACTAGTGCCACACGGCATGGACTATGGAAGATCATTTATGTCAGAACTGACTGAAAGTACAAGCAAAAGAAGGTTGTGGATAGACATGACTACCAACGCTGCACGGCATTGACTGTGGAAGATCATTTGTGTCTGAACTGACTGAAAGTACATGCAACAGAAAATTGTGGATAGACATGACTAAATTAAAGTTTTAATGGTTGAAGGATATTCAAAGATCTAAAGAAACATCAAAGAGAGAATTTAAAAGTAAAATATTGGGCAAAAGAGGAAGTAAATGACGATGGAAAACATTTTTAAATATTGGATTTACTGGTGTAGGAATTCAAACAAATCAAACATGCACACAATTTAAGAAACACACAACACATTTATGAGAGAGAGAGAGAGAGAGAGAGAGAGAGAGAGAGAGAGAGAGAGAGAGAGAGAGAGAGAGAGAGAGAGAGAGAGAGAGAGAGAGAGAGAAAGAGAGAGAGAGAGAGCAGGTATTTTAAAAAATGAAAACGTAGAGGGAAATAAAATATGGGATGGAAAAAGAAGGAGTAAAAGTATGATAAAAAGAAAGTGAGAGAGAGAGAGAGAGAAAAAAAAAACAGAGACCAGACAGACAGATAGTGACTTAAAGAGAAAGAGAGAGAGAGAACATGACAAAAATGAGAGAGATAGAATATGATAGAGTGAAATTGAAGAGAAAGAAAGTAAGAAATTGAAAAAAGAAAAGAGGGAGAGAGATGAAAAAAAGAGAGAGAGAGAGAGAAATGGAAGTTCCTACTGAATTCATCCTTCTCCTTGACTCGATTGAGGCTGGGACACATCTTGGTGATCAGAGTGGACATGTGGGAGAAGACAATCAGGGGCGGGGGCAGCACCGGGCGATGGGTGTACTCGTAGACCAGACTGAACCGCTGGAAGCACCAGTGCATGTCCGTGTTCTCCTGGACCTGCTCAAATGTGTAACTGCGGAGGAATTCAAACAAATAATTTTCATTGGATAATTATACATCTAAGGACATGACTCGTATCCCTGTCTAGACTGACGGATTTAAGGGGAGGGGGTGTGTAGCCTGGAGCTGCAAGAAATGAACATTTCACTAAGGGGACAAGATGTTCTATTATCCAACACAGAACGGCGTCATCCGTCGCTTTACACCTGTGAAGCTTTTGAGGAGGAGATCGGAGCACCTATGGATCTGTCCGGAGTTTTGTGATGATAATCCTTTCTAAATGCTAATCATTATATCTACTTATTCAATATTTAATGTCATATATAAACAAGACAAACAATTTAACAGAAAATACTGGGAAAGCTACCCCGGTAAACAAATGCCCGCAGAAGTCGGATGTGTTGGCCAAAAAGTGCAAATATCGGAGCCATGCTGTAAATGGACACGACGCAATTACATCTTTGGATGAACGTAGAAGAAGAAGAAGAAGAAGAAGATTTAACAGGAAATGACTGCATCAGAGGAAAAGATGGTGAAATTATTATAGCTGATAAGAGTTATATAATTTAAAGCTGTACTGAATACACAGAGGAATTGAAACAAACAATTTTTAATTAATAATTACATACCTAATTATTCAAAGACAAACCATTTTGCAGAAAGGTTCGCATCCGAGAGAAAGATGGCAAAATTATTGTTGATAAGAATTATATAATTAAAATGGGTGTATGTGGGTGTGTATATATGTGTGTTTAAGTCAGTGGGCGGGCGCATGTATGTGGGTGTGTGTGCGCGAGTGTGTGCATTAATTTCACCACACACACACGCACGCACGCACGCACACACACACACACACAGGGCTCACCTGAAACTGGCAATGGGAAGACTAAGCAGGAGAACATTAATCTCTCTCTCTCTTTCTCTCTCTCTCTTTCCCATTCAATCACACACAACACACACATATGTACACACACAAGTATACACACACACACACACAGAGCTCACCTGAACGTGGCGATGAGAAGATTGAGCAGGAGAACACTGATCTCTCTCTCTCTCTCCCATTAAGGTGAGAGAACTCATTTGTACATAGCAATGAGAAGAAGGACACTGATCTCTCTCTCTCTTTCCCATTAAGGTGAGAGAACTCATTTGTACATAGCAATGAGAAGAAGGACACTGATCTCTCTCTCTCTTTCCCATTAAGGTGAGAGAACTCATTTGTACATAGCAATGAGAAGAAGGACACTGATCTCTCTCTCTCTTTCCCATTAAGGTGAGAGAACTCACTTGTACATAGCAATGAGCAGAAGAACACTGATATCTCTCTCTCTCTCTCTTTCCCATTAAGGTGAGAGAACTCACTTGTACATAGCAATGAGCAGAAGGACACTGATATCTCTCTCTCTCTCTCTCTCTCTTTCCCATTAAGGTGAGAGAACTCACTTGTACATAGCAATGAGCAGAAGGACACTGATCTCTCTCTCTCTCTCTCTCTTTCCCATTAAGGTGAGAGAACTCACTTGTACATAGCAATGAGCAGAAGGACATTGATATCTCTCTCTCTCTTTCTCTCTTTCCCATTAAGGTGAGAGAACTCACTTGTACATAGCAATGAGCAGAAGGACACTGATCTCTCTCTCTCTCTCTCTCTTTCCCATTAAGGTGAGAGAACTCACTTGTACATAGCAATGAGCAGAAGGACACTGATCTCTCTCTCTCTCTCTCTCTCTCTTTCCCATTAAGGTGAGAGAACTCACTTGTACATAGCAATGAGCAGAAGAACACTGATCTCTCTCTCTCTCTCTTTCCCATTAAGGTGAGAGAACTCACTTGTACATAGCAATGAGCAGAAGAACACTGATCTCTCTCTCTTTCTCTCTTTCCCATTGAGGTGAGAGAACTTACTTGTACATAGCAATGAGCAGAAGGACACTGATCTCTCTCTCTCTCTCTCTTTCCCATTAAGGTGAGAGAACTCACTTGTACATAGCAATGAGCAGAAGAACACTGATATCTCTCTCTCTCTCTTTCCCATTAAGGTGAGAGAACTTACTTGTACATAGCAATGAGCAGAAGGACACTGATCTCTCTCTCTCTCTCTCTCTCTCTCTCTCTTTCCCCATTAAGGTGAGAGAACTCACTTGTACATAGCAATGAGCAGAAGAACACTGATATCTCTCTCTCTCTCTCTTTCCCAATAAGGTGAGAGAACTCACTTGTACATAGCAATGAGCAGAAGGACACTGATATCTCTCTCTCTCTCTCTTTCCCATTAAGGTGAGAGAACTCACTTGTACATAGCAATGAGCAGAAGGACACTGATATCTCTCTCTCTCTCTCTCTTTCCCATTAAGGTGAGAGAACTCACTTGTACATAGCAATGAGCAGAAGAACACTGATATCTCTCTCTCTCTTTCCCATTAAGGTGAGAGAACTCACTTGTACATAGCAATGAGCAGAAGAACACTGATATCTCTCTCTCTCTCTTTCCCATTAAGGTGAGAGAACTCACTTGTACATAGCAATGAGCAGAAGAACACTGATATCTCTCTCTCTCTCTCTTTCCCATTAAGGTGAGAGAACTCACTTGTACATAGCAATGAGCAGAAGAACACTGATATCTCACTCTCTCTTTCTCTTTCCCATTAAGGTGAGAGAACTCACTTAGTTGAACATAGCAATGAGAAGAAGGACACTGATCTCTCTCTCTCTCTCTTTCCCATTAAGGTGAGAGAACTCACTTGTACATAGCAATGAGCAAAAGAACATTGATCTCTCTCTCTCTTTCCCATTAAGGTGAGAGAACTCACTTGTACATAGCAATGAGCAAAAGAACATTGATCTCTCTCTCTCTCTCTTTCCCATTAAGGTGAGAGAACTCACTTGTACATAGCAATGAGCAGAAGAACACTGATATCTCACTCTCTCTCTCTCTTTCCCATTAAGGTGAGAGAACTCACTTGTACATAGCAATGAGCAGAAGGACACTGATATCTCTCTCACTCTCCCACTCACTCACACATACACAGAGAGAGAGATAGAGAACTTACCGAACATGGCAATGAGAAGACTGAGCAGAAGAACACTGGTCTCTGTCTCTCTCTCTCTCGGACACTCCCACTCACTCACACATACACAGAGAGAGAGAGAGGGAGAGAGAGAGAGAAAGCTCACCTGAACATAGCAGTGAGAAGACTGAGCAGGAGGACACTGATCTCTCTCTCTCGCACACTCCCACTCACTCACACGTACACAGAAAGAGAGAGAGAGAGAGAGAGAGAGAGAGAGAGAGAGAGAGAGAGAGCACCTGAACATGGCAATGAGAAGATTCAGCAACAGGACATTGGTCATCAAGATGTAGACTCCAAGCAAGACGGGCACATAGTATTTTCCAACAGGGGACGGACACCGCAACTTTTCATAATCCCTGTACAAATCTGGATCGTCGGTGCAGTCAGAATCTCCTGATTAAACAAAATATAATCAAACACAAATATGTTACTGCCATTGTCCTTAGGAATATTATATGATGTTTTCACAGTCTCTTCCACAATGTGATTCTCACAGTCACCATCATCATCATGTTGCAGCTTCTTTGCAGAACATCACTCTCATCATGGTCTGCCTGAAAGAAACTCGGTCTCTCGCCAATTCTCCCGCACTTTCATTTCCTCTTCTTCTTCTCTGTTTACCGGCTGTAAGCTCTGGTGGGAAGTCTTGGTTGTTCGTCCATCTGGATTTTGGCACTGTGCCAGGGCCTGAGTTTTGCATGTACATCCGTTTTACTGACTTATTTGAATGCGGTTGGTTGTGCCTTGCCACTCAGGCAGATGCACTCCAACTGGGAAGGAAGTTCCAATTTAGTCGAATCCTTGGACATGCTTGTAGGAAGGGCAGTGGGTCTATTATTGTTTTCTCCACAATGGGCGCTCAGAACCCACACGGGAAAACTATCATATCCAAAGAGTCTCTTACATCCTGTGCCCATCTTCATGTTAGTCAGTCCTTGTCCCTCCTTCCTGGTACCATGCCGTCTGCTATTAATTTCTTTTCCAATCTGCATCGGTGCTTGATATGGTCAAAATACAAGATTTCAGCTTCAGAGACAAGATTCTCTTTAATCAGTCTCAACCTGTCTTAATCAGCTTCTTACAGTTTATGCCATTAGGTATTGGTTGCCACGTCCACCCCCAGTCTTCTTTCTGGTCTACTTTCAATTATTTCTACACATGTTATCCTCCATGCCATGAAATTAAACAGTCCATCATTATCTCTCTTGGTCTTCTTTGCTTCATTGCTCCTGCAACTGAAAAACTCATGGAAAATGGCCTGTATCCTCCTGTGAAACACAGGCCCTCATCTAGTTCAAGCAAGGCATCCCATTGTTTGCTATCACATGCAGCAGGCTGTGTTACTATTCTTTGCTTCGTGTGGAAGCCCTGGTCACTCATGAGTGCGTAGTTAACAAACTTACCTATAAAATGTCAATTATTGTGAGAAAATAAGTCCTGGGATTTATAGACCTCATCACATTATAAGAAAACGTAAGTAATGGTTATATCAAAGAAGAAGATAACTCCACATTCTGATATCTCAACTGAAGGAAAAAGACTCAACCAAGTCAACAATTTAAATATCTGAGAACAATCAAATCATCAGATGGAAAATGTGTGACAAAGATTAAAAGCTGAATAGGTCAAGCAAAAGCTGCATTTCAGAAATGAAAAATATCTTATGATATGAAGCGCTCTCATTTAATGTCAGAAAGAGGGTGCTAAAATGTTACACAGAACCTGTTCTGCTGTATGGCAGGGAGTCTTGAAATGTCAGTGAACAAATTAAGAAGAATTTGGAAGCAACAGAGATGTAGTTTCTGAGACGAATGTTACGAATACCTTGGACAGCCAGAGTAACTAACAACCATTGCTTGAAAGAGGCTAATAAAAGTAGATCACTGTATACAACAATAAAAAAGAGACAAACACTGTTCTTTGGCCACATAATGAGAAGAGAAACATTGGAAAACATCGTGACAACTGGAAAGATCAGTGGAAAGAGGGATAGAGGCAGACCAAGAGAGATGACACTGGATGGGCTGAAACGATGGCATGGAGGGAAATCATCAAGAGAGCTGTCCAGGCAACCAGGGATCGTGGTCTGTGGATACGCATGAGCGCCTACGCCAGTTGGCAGGGCACATGATGATGATGACCACACTGTAGACAATTTATGACATTTTGAATATGCAATTTTCACTTCTTTCAATCATTTGTACAAACAGTGACCCACAAGCTAAATCATAAAACATGGAGCATTACCCTCGATGTCTTCTAGAAACAACTCCCCGTAGATATGCCAGTAAGCCTTGCGGGGCAGGTAATAGAAGAGTTTCCAACTCAACTCAGAATTTGGGTAGAGCACGGCTTCAGATGAAATTGCATAGGTCACAACGAACACAATCAAGATGATGACAAATGACATCAGGTCTTTGATCTAGGGAAAATGACAAAGTTAAGACTGACATCTCAGCAATAAAGCTGCATTAACTCTTTTGGTACCAAGGAACTCACCTTTGTTTATTCTTTTTCTTAAAGTCAATGCTGTGTGGTGTTGGTAGTCACGTCTGTCTGCAACCACTATTTATGGTACAAACATCTTTACTTTTCCTAACCCATTCTTGTCTTATGTTGAGTAAAAAGTAAAAAAAGTAAAAAAATCCTTGTCCATACCTTCAGGCAAATTGGACTTATAGAGCTAGTAGACTAATGGCACTTGGTGGGTGATGTTGTAAGAATCATGCCGGCAGCCTTTACCTTCCAGGATTTTACCAAGTACCTGTTTAAAATACAAGTCTAACAATATATCAGCAAGGCATATGATGAAGATCATCATCATTCTGACCACCTTCACTTTCCAGGGCATAATTGGTACCCATTTTAAATTATGCTGACTTGGGTGGTTTCAATTCCGGTGGCACTAGTAACAGTCTCATTACATGTCCATCTCGCCTTTCCTCTGAGTGTCAAGCATCCTCCAAATCCTCTAGTCACTCCTCACAGCACCATTCACCGCAGACAGTGATGATCTTTTTGTGTCTTCGCATAAAGTCCTGGGAAGTAAAAGCAGCTGGTGTGATGCTGACCACACCCACCGAGTGCCCACTGGTCTATAAAATATCGCTCCAGCCCTATACGCCCAGTACTCTGGAATGAATCAAGAAACTAGCATCACTGCACTCTTGATGTTTCCAAACATGCTCTGTCAGTAGCCAACAAAGAGTCAAATATGCATAAGGCATGGAAACGAATCCTTTACTACTTTTACTGTTCACTCACTCCTAAAGGCCCTTACAACATCTAGCCTCTCGTGCATCAGTTCACCACCAAATGGTGCAGAACCATCCAGTCTATCCGACTGTTTGTTTACCAACACACCAGCATACCCTGGAGAAAATATCCAAAAGGAATCTAACTACCCAGGACCTCTGGAGTGATGATTGCCACTCTGCACAGAGCCTACTTGTCTTCACCTTTTTCAACATGCTCTGTGAGTCAGTTACAATTACCACATGAAGGTACAGCTGGTTCTCAAGACAGTGACTGCCTCTACCTCCATTCAAATTACACGTTGTGATATCAAATACAAGACTTGGATGCACTAAACGCCGTTCATTTGTATTTGCTATGAACCCCAATGCAACTTATCTACCTCTCAACACAGTCATCTGTATATAATCGCATCACCTGGGTGGGAATTGTCATGAATCATCTGTTTCTGTGGTGCCCTTTGACCAGTCCCAACACTCATGGCCTAATATGGTTAGAACCTTACACAAGTCTGACTGTTGCTGGGACACTTTAACCTATTCCTCTCCTCGTCTAATATACAATCAAATCAATATGTAATATAGCACAAAACATGAATACTTTCAACTAAAATACATAAATTGCATGTCTCTTTTACGCTGTACATTTCACTAATGGAACTTCAAGATTAATCATGTGATTACCATAAAGTTATGGCCTTTACCACATGATCTTGTAATGTGAAAATGTTTTTTTTTAAAAATATTTTTCAAACATATTTGGTTTATTTGAATGCAAACTGTAGGTTCCTTGCCTCTCAGGCAGACCCACTCTAGCTTCAAAGATAACACTCCGAATGAGTTCAATTTATGATGTACTTGTTAGCCAGACAATGAGTCTGTTCTTTATTTCTCCAAAGTGAAGCCCCAGAGCCGCCCACAAAGTGAAGCCCCAGAGCCGCCCACAAAGTGAGTTACACTAAAAATATATTATTCTGCTGCCAAATTACCCACAGTTGAATCAAACAGGCTATTTCAGAATTGTGAACCATGTTTGTAACCCATAAGCCACACTTGCCGCTTTGTAGGCATACCAATAATATCACAGTATGCTACTCTTGTTACTTACCATTTTGTTGATCATGACTAACTTAGGTCCAAGTTGTTTGTTGACAGAAAAGATATGCAGAATCCGGAAAAAGAATGCAATCAAATTAATGCTTAGAATCACTCGGGCACCACTCAAGAAGTTGTCATCATCAATAAAACGCAGTGTCATGCCAACAGCAAAGAGGAGGATTGTGGCAATGTCTAGTATGTTCCAACTGTCATTAAAGTAGGACGTGACCTTTGACTTGAAGGAAAACGCATATCCAGTCAGAAACTGAAAGAAAAGAAAAAAAATGTTAACTATTTCAGTCCCGAGCAGTTGTTCCAACAATTTCCTCTATCTCACAATGTGTATATTTTAGAACGACTTCTGATCACGTCTGAAACCATGACGCAATTTTACATTATTTAAAAACCCCACCCCGGGTGTAGTCGGGGGCCCTAATATAACCTAATGGTTGAACAGGGTTTTTGGAACTTGTGCCCATCTGAATGGTAGCACTTTGTGTCATTGAGTGTCGTAGTCGCTCATTGTATGGTCCTGGTGGGGTTAAATGACACACTTTAGAGTGACAATCTTTGAGACTTGTTGATTTACAATGATAAACCAGGAGACAGGAGGAATTAAAGTATGATTTAGTGCAGACTAGATAAATCTACCAAAAGAATGGAAGGGGGGAGGGGGGGGATTTAGAAATGTTTACAGGGGTTCTCTAATTATTTTTGCTGCGGCACCCTTGTCAGGCTAAATTTTGCTCACAGCACAGCTACACTTAGAGCGTTTTGAATACTTGGGAAAAGAAGCAAAAATAGTGCACATTTAATGTTCAGTTGTCTTTATTACCACAGCACCCGTGGCATACGCTCGCAGCACCCCAGGGTGAACCACTCATTTATACAATGTAATCAGTAATTTAGGACTGTGCAGGTCAGAATTTTAATTTTGCCCCCGACAGAAACAAATCCCCAACCATATTGAGGATTCGATTCTGGGTCTCTTGCTTGACAGCTCCCATTTTAACCACTCGGCCAGCCACTCTTAAGATCTACAAATTTACAAAACATGTTTACTGTTGCATGTGAGTAATGTCCAGTACACATGGTGCACTGTTTGGGACTGAAAGACTTTAAAAGTAGGTGATAAACAGAGACTAAGCAAAAATGTTCTGATATTAGATGTTTCAGTCAAAAAGTGCAGTTATCAAAGCTTAGCGGAAGACCACAAAATAACATGCCACCCATTCTTTAATGCGCTAATGCAGACGAAAAAGGCTGTATATGTATGGGAGAATTCTGCCATAAATCAATCATGTATAGAGAGTTCTGCCATAAATCACTCATGTATGGGAGAATTCTGCCATATGTATGGGAGAATTCTGCCATAAATCAATCATGTTTGGGAGAGTTCTGCCATAAATCAATCATATTTGGGAGAATTCTGCCATAAATCAATCATGTATGGGAGAATTCTGCCATAAATCAATCATGTACGGGAGAATTTTGCCATAAATCAATCATGGATGGTATGGGAGAATTCTGCCATAAATCAATCATGTATGGGAGAATTCTGCCATAAATCAATCACAATGAAATGGGCCATGGCAAGTTAATCATATGTGTCGATTACTTCCCACCCTAAAAAAAAATGTCTGACACATTCCATGTCTGGGGACAGCTTTTATCAAGTTTGCTCTCTAGATGGTTTGCGGTTGTCAGCTGATGAGATTCTGTCTTCCCAGATAGTGGGCTTCTGTGATCAGAACATTGCTGCCTAATCTTTCAGTCATTATTCCGCTTAGACACAGCACAACCACAATGCACGCTGCTCCCACGGAAAACACAGAGTATCCTGCATTGGAAATGCACACCAAATAGCAGTCCATGATAAGGAAACAGAACAATCCAAAATAATTAACATCCATCGGAAAAAACATAGCTGCTTGTCACCATTTTGAAAATGGAAGTCGGTCACAATTAAATGAATTTAAATGTACTTAGTCATGGTTCTTATAAGTACTTATTACTATTTTAACAAAAGTATCTAACACTATCAATGTGTTTAAGTCTTACCTGTCGAATCTCTTCAAAAAATACTGTGCACACCCAGCCTATGAGGATGCCTTCTAAAAAGTGGAACTCTTTTGAAAGTTGGACAACCAAATAGTAACTGTAGAGCAGCAGGAAGATGAAGTACGCAATCTGGAACACAAAATGTGGATAAAGATTGCAGCAAAATATTCGCACATTTAGATTTGTTTCTTTACAAGTTTTTTCTTATTATTTTTACTGTTCTTTTCCTATAATTATTTATGTCTGTCTTCCTTCCTTTGTAAATTTTTGTGGCTATCCTCTGAATAACGGTCCCAAGTTATCGAGACTGAACATATAACTAACAGGGCCTCAGTTGCATGAAAATTGCAGACCTCTTTCGGGCGACTACACAACATACCGAGGAAAAAGATGGCTGGGACTAGTTTAGCCCCACTCTGCGCCACACGTAGCGGCAGTGAGATACTCTCGGTGGTGACGGTATTTTCGCCGGAAAGAGGTCCGCAATTTTCATGTGACAGAGGCCCTGTTAGGGTAAATTTTGGGCCTCGATAATTTGGGACCGTTATTTGGAGGATAGCCGTTTTTTTTTTTACTCTCTTTTATTTCTTTCTTGCATTCATTCACCTTTGCATTCATTCATCTGTGCATTCATTCAATTGTGTCTCAGGCTAATGGGGCTCTGGCTCAGCAGGTTGGAATAAAGTCTCTATGATTAAATACTCCATTAAACTGTGACAGGCCCAAAACCAGCAGTGAATGAAATCTTTCTCGAAGAAACAATAAGAAGGGAAATCGGAATGATATTTACAATTTCAGGAATGACACTGGGATGGAACCGGTAGTAAACTACATCAAAAGACAACAGATCCAGGGCTTTGGACAGGGGTCAAGATTATTGCCAGACTGTCCACCACAGAGACCTCTGTCATTCAGACTTAATGGAAGCAGAGCCAGAGGTCGATCATGCCAGCAATGGATGGACAGATTATAAAATAAACACACCAATTTTCATGCCTTTCAGTCAGCCACTCCTCTAAGGACTTAAGGAAAAGAAAACATCAAAATTCATAGAGTAGGATGACTAGTTGTCTAACACGATAACACTACATCTTGTGAGGGCATTATGGGTTAACCTGATTTTCATCTGGGCCTATGTGACTTACCACACTAAGGATAAACTTCACCACTGGAGAGCGGTAGAAGAGTCTGTGTTTCTTGATGATGCTGTAGTTTTTGCTGCTCTTTGCTGCTGCACTGTTGTCACTGAAAACGACAACATTTGGAATTGTTTATGGTAACAGGTGAAGGTAACCCCGTATGGCTTCTACGGGGCAACAGATGGCTGGAGTTTATATATTTCTTCATATTTTCTTTAAAGAATCCACCAAAAACAAACCCCAGTTCAAATGTGTTGTAGAAATGTAATGAGAATGAATGCAGTTACTTGGGTAGCCAGATATTCGTAAGTCTGAGCTGACCAAACATAAAAAAAAGGAGACATATGTTAGATCTTTGATCAGACAGGAAAAAGTAGATCACAAATCATGTGTTGTTTGCAAATAAAGTGAGTCAATGTAAAACTAAATACTACAAATGGCCAGACTTCCCTCGTGGGTTCCTGGGTCCCATTGTGGGGGGAGGGAGATACAAGCATATCATATAAGTCGATTAATTAGGTGTTTGTTAGTTACTCAGGTCGTTAGCTGGGTTATCATCATTGCACTCCGAGCATGTCCATTGGTGCCCAGATCCATCCCTCAGCCCGGTGGCTAATAGTAGCAGTTGTATGTTGATTAACAAATCCTCTAATGCACCTGGTGTGCATCCCGTTTTTTTGCTATGCCGATCTTAACTCCCAAGTCTTTCATTCTGGTGACTGATGTGCATTCATTGACCTGAAATTAGGCGTGTTTCCTTTTAAGTTGGAGGACATCTGCCTGTGAGGCAAGGAACCAACAGCCTGCATAAAAGTTAGACAGCTCTGTAAAATGGATGTGCACATAAAAATTCAAGTTCTGGAACAAGACCACAGTCCAGAAGTGGATGAACAACCAAAACATTCCACTGAAGTTTAAAGCTGGTAAACTTTAGGAAAAAGAAGAAGAAGAAGAAGAAGAAGAAGAAGAGATAGCCGGACAACCAACAAGACCCAGGAGAACTTACAGGTTCAAGGACGTCGCCTGTCTGGTCAAACCGTGGTGATTGTTGCTTGCCTCTCTGGTCAGGGCTAGTTCAGTCTCCTTCAACTTTTGCTTGTCTTTCTTCTGCAACAGCAGGTCAAGGTCATATCAGACCATTAAACAAACTTGGAATCTCACACTTTAAAGACTCGCACACACACATTATCTTCAACTGGAAGGGAGAGGGGAGAGGAAGATGGAAAGACAGGCAGATAGACAGAATTAGAAGGAGATACAGACACAGCAAGAGACACAGTAACAAAAGATAAACTCACACAAACATTCATTCATACATACATACACATATACATACATGTACATTTGAACACAGAGAAAAAGACAAACAAAAATACATAACCATACAAATATACACACACACACATATACACACACGCTAACAAAGGCCTGCATACACACTCATACGTACCCATGCATAAACTATCATACACACACACACTCAAAAATGCATATACATACACACACACTCAAACATACTCATAAACACATCTACAATGCCAGCATGCCATATGATGGTGTTACATTTAACATATATATAATTAACATAATTATTTACCAGTCCAAGAATTAAAAAAAAAAAAAAACCACACACAAAAACTCACGTCTGCCAATGTTGGTTCTACGGGAGCAATTTCCTTCCCCTTTTTATTATCAACTTCCAGAAATTTTATGGCAAATTGGATTAAAGGGAAGAAGAATGTGCTTGGAATAATCTGTATAAGAAGAAAAAATAGTAATTATGGAGGAATTTTATTTATTGTGCACAGTTTTGTTGCTTGATTGGCTGGTGTCTGTCTAGTGGTTGAGATGACCGAGCCATGTGGGATAAAACCTGGTGCAATTAACTCGATCCTCTTGACTTTAACCTTTAACCTTTAGTGGTTGATCAAATAGTTAGTGTCTGTCTGCTGGCTGATTGACTGGGTGGTGTCTGTTTGGTTTAGTTGATTAGCTGTCTGTTTGATGACTGATTGCTTGGTGAGCGACTGGATGATTGGTTAGTGTCAGTGTGAACACTGACTGATTGACTGGTTAGTCAAAGGCTAGTTGAATGGTTGGTTGTTGACTGGTTGGTGGTTTAAATGTGGTACTTTGGTGTTTGTTTACAGTGAAGTAGTCGACTGATTGGTTGGTCACTGGCTGGTTAGCTAGCAGCTGACTGGTGGCTGGTTAGTTAAAAATTCACCATGAGTTGTAACTCTTAACTGATGCATTGATGCATAAATTGTCTCAGCCATGAACACTGCCTTTACCTATCAAAGTCATTAACTACCCAAACCTGCTGATCAAGTTCTCTCAAAACTTGCTGACCCAGCATGGAAGTGCAATCCACACTGGTAATGAATTACAGAACTCTTCTAGGTTCTGAAAACCAGTAAGATATGCAAGAGTGATGCCATTTGTGGTGGCCAGGCGTCCGGTTGGGAACTGATTTCTAGCATGACAATGAAAAGGTTTTGATCAGCTTGGTATTTGATCTGGTGCACCATCAGATGTGGTTCAGGACTTCTGCATCTCAGGTAAAGCTATACCTCTTCTTCTCTAGTCCTGTTTTGCCCTTGGGGTTAAATACCCTGTTAAAGGTGATATATAAATATTTAATTTTCTATGTAGTAAATATCTCAAAGCTGACCATCATCATCACCATCATCACAATGATTATAATTTCACTTGAAACCTGATAGAATAGATATAGTGAGGAAGCTATACTACAGATGCAATAGGTGCAAAGATGAGATACCCTCCACCAGATAAGTACTTGAAAAAGCATACAGTAAAAAGCAAGCACCTTCAGCCGGCAGCACAGCGCAGACAGCCCAGTCGGACACAGCTCTCTCTCGCTCGCTCGCTCTACCGCCCGATCAGCCACGTGTGTCTCTCGTTAGCTTGCTAACTATCCATTCGCAGCCAGATTATCAATAGCTAGATACTGGTCAGAACTCGCTTGATATTCGGCTGAGTTTTGGCTCGACTACGCTATTGTTATTCGTCTGCGGGTGGGTTATTAGCGGCCCGGGAGCACATCATTGTTGAGGAGCCAGTCACACCAGCCAGTTTTTTTTTTGTGTGTAACGATTGTCTCGAGAACTGCGGAGAAAAGCACGCTTGGGTGTCCTTTTCAGGATACTCTAACAAGCCTTGCCAGACTCTGCAGGGACCGAGCAATCAATTGCCGCCCGACTTACCAGTCTCAGCCACACGAAACCATGGCCCGTGGTAAGAAGAATCCGGTCCAGCGCCGGGACACCAGGGCATCCTCAGCCAAAAAGGAGGAAGCACCTGTCGCCGCACCAGTGCTGACGATGCCAGAACCGGTCGACGACCCGGAGGAGACACAAGCCCAGACGCCGCCAACCTTAGATGTAGGCCCTATCGAGGCACCCATCTACCCAGAAGCCGCCCCAGTCGTGGCGCAGGGAGCCACCGACACCCGACCACTAAGACAGCAGCATCAGCGACCGGGCGCCCACGACACAGAAATCCTGCAGTGCTCACGCTGCAACAAGGCGTGGCACACAGCCCCAGCATGCCGCGGCAGCCCATCGTGCAAGTACTGCTCCAAGCCGCACGACTTTAAGGAATGCCCCTTGGCCAAGATGGACACGGACTTCCGAAAGCCCAACGCCAGCCGGAGATGCTCCAATTGCGCAGGAGCACACAGTGCGAGATACATGGGGTGCCCGTATCTAAAAGAATGCAGGAGAACTATGTTGACAAACACCACCAGCAGAGTAACCACCCACCCAGCAGCAAAAAAGAGATACGCGGCACCCATCTCAACCAGAAATCACGGAGAAACAAGACTAGTCGTCACCACTGAAATAGCGAAACTCCAGAGCGAGCTAGCACTGATGAAGACCGAGATCGAGGCCCTCAAGAAAGACAAAGCAGAGACCGACCGAAAAAGAACCGAGGAAAGAGACAAAATATCCACCCTCCGAGGCATCCTGCAAGAAATGCTAGAAAATCAGAAGCGCCTGAAAGTAGGGGTGACCGACTTAACAGATTTTAAGGTAAACACAATGGCCCTGCTATCTGAAACCAAGAAGCAGACCAAACAAAACGCAGCGGAGGAGACCAGACGCGCAGAACAGCAGAATACAATCACCTCACTCCTATCCGATGTCGCCAGTCTCAAGAAAGATTTAACAGAAACCGCAGAAAAGCTAACGAGATCAAGCGACGAATGCACCAAACTGAGAACAGCAATCCAAGCAACAAGCAAAACCGTCAACGGCATAGTAAAAGCCAAGAAAGAGAAGGAAAGAAAAAAGCAGGAGATGATTGAAACCTACGAGAGCATGTGGAGAGAAGAAGAAGAACAAGAAAAGGCAGCAGCAAAAGCCCAGGAGGAGGAAGACAGAATAGCAATGCAGGCAGCAGACAAAGAAGAAGCAAAGATACTGGCAGCAGAAAACCTAGCCGAACAAACGAAAGCCAAAGAAGCGCTCAAGAAAGTAACCGCCAGCAAACCGTTTACATTCGAGTACAAACGGCCCACCTACTACGACAGCCCATAAACAAGCCGCCATGACAGCTGAACAAACCCCGCCCACCAGCCAGAGAAACCTGACAGCCCACAACCAGACGACATGATGTCCGCCGCCAAAGCCACTCCCTCCTCTACCCGATCCAGGCCGTCCAAAGGCTATGGTCCGCCCTTTTTAGGGCAGACCGAGATCCCTTACCTCACCCTGACAACAGCAACAAAACCTCAGGCGTAATACGATCGCCGCACAGAAACGACAATAACTGGAGAACAAAACTCCAGACAATAAAACACCGCTTCGATATAACCAACGCTCAGTATAGGAGCCGGTTGAAAGAGGCAAGAAGTTTTTCGGTTTTTTACCAACACCAGTTACCAGTTACAGTAAAAAGTTAAAACCAAGGGCAGTAATTAAGGGTAATTAGGAATGGTAATCCCTAGTAGTGCACTTAGATTTAAGTGCCATTGATTCATTTGACAGTTGAATGGAAAATGATACTTGATGTTCCATAAAGTATCATTTTATTAGGAAGGAGGGAGGATGTGATGATGCGCTTTGCATGGTCTCCATGAATACATTGTGGCAAGCAGGAAGTCCGTGCTACTAGTGACGGCACGAGATACTTGTGGCTGGTCGAGTAAGCGAGGGGAAGCTCGAGTAATCGAGGGGAAGCCCGAGCTAGACTCGTGGTCAGTTGATCATCAGAAGTCAGAGAAGACGGTTGTATTAGTAGAAGATGTAGTCCCTATGTCGTGCGTGTTACCAGTATTTGAATATGTCGCGAGCGATAGAAGTCTGAATAATTGTTGAAACATGTGGAATAAATGTAACTAAATAAACTGATAGTATGTATAAGAAAGCCGAGCAGTGTTTGTGTTATCAACCCTAGACGTTCGAGCAGTGCAAGTTATGTTGTAGTAATCATGGAGAGTGAACCATGGCGTAAGCAGATACGTAGTAAGCCAAGGTACATGTCAAGCAGCGCAGAAAGCCACGACTCCTTTCGAATCATTCAAGGTTCATTTCAAGATAGTAGAAGCCACGGTTCATTCCAACCACCAAAGGTGGAGAGAGCTGATCAGACAGTCAACAGAAACTTGTAAGCCATCAACACACAGTGTTGCCGGATGAGTATGACCCTGATAATAAATTACTGTTTTAGGGCATAACTTTGAAAAAAATAAATATCCCCTGCCCCCGAAAAATGACTCACCCAAAACAAGCTGTTTCCTTGAGCCATGCGACCCATCCATATTGAGTTCAGCAGCGACTGGCAGGCTGTCTGTGCTACAAACTCTTTGTTGCCAGATTGCACTGCCAGTAACATACATGTGGACTTGCCCCAGTGAGGCATGACCTGGGTCAATAAGTCATGTGTTCTTTTCTCATCAGAGCTGTAGCATTTGTTGATGACACCAATTGCCAGTTGAGCATAATCACTGAAATGCATGAAGTAGAAAACAATATTAGAATTAGCAGACTAGCAAGCCTCATTGACATGAAAGTGTAAAAGAAAAACAACCTGGCTCCTGATCATTCCTTCACTTGCCACTATATGACATATAGGACGTAAATAGGTGATGTCTGCAGTTGAGCTAATTGCAAGAAATGCTAAATAAACATAACATAAAATTTGACCAGTATTTTAGTTTAGTACTTCTTGGTTTCATGGTGACCTTTTTTTTTTTTGTTTATTAGTTCTGTTATCTTGTCCGTCAAGTTTTCCAGTCACAGTTTGTGCTGTATTTAGTAGTCGGCTGATAAAGACTTTGGTCGAAACGTTTGATTGTGTTTGTGTGCATCCTTTGTATTTCCTCCACTGAGCTTTCTAGTCCTATTTTGTGTTATATTTAGTATGTTATATAGGGCTCACAGTTTTTTTCTCTTTTCCATTCACCCTACAAAATACTTTTGGCAAGGTGCTTGAGAAGATTATTGCTGTTGAACTACAAATGTTTTTGGAAAAAGAAGAGCTCCTGCCAAATGGTTTAGGTAGTTTACCGGTCACAAAAAAAGATACCTGGTCAAATGCAGCTACTTTTGATGTTTATGAAGGGTTTCAGAACAAGCATGAGATGGTTGTGGCAGCACTTGATCTTGAGGATGCCTACAACAGAGTCAGATATGGTATTTTGCTATCGGCACTCATGGAGAAGGGGGTTTGTACCTGACTTGTGAACTGGATAGCAGCTGTCCTGCATTTACGTATGGTAGATATTCCCCTGGGTACATGGACCTCAAAACCATGTAATTTTACACCGGGACTACCCCAGGGTTCTGCAATTTCACCAGTGGTCTTCAATGTGTATACAAACAAGATTGCAGAACTTGAAGCACCAGGTGTTGGAAGGACATTGACATTTGTTGATGATTTTCTTGCATATAGGCAGGGGAGTAATAGGTAACGGATAGACTAAGATCTATAGGCAACTGTAGACAAAGTGACTGACTGGTATGCAGAAATGGGTGCTGTCATAAACTCAGAAAAGGTGGCTGTTTTGTCATGCTTTCTGGACAAAAGAATTGTAAGAGCTAATGTTCCATGCCTCACAGTTAATAACAATAACATCAACAGAGAAAGCAAACAGGTACTTGGTAATCATTTTCGATAGAAGTCTATCTTTCAGGGATCATGTGGAGGCAGTTGCGGTGAAATGCCAAAAAAGTCTCAATGCTCTCAAGTTTATGGCAGCAATAGATATGTAACAAAGAATGTTGTTCACAATGTTCCAGCATGTGATCCTGTCGGTGATGAATGCTTACCATATCAAAGAGTCAGCTGATGAAACTTGTCCCTCCTTGCTGGATCCACACTTAATTCCTAGTTCACACATTCCTACACACGTTATTTCATCTAATCTCAAGTCTTCTGTCAACACTCATTCATAAATGAGCATCAGGATCTCTCCCTGGCAGCAGATACAGTTCTGCTAAGTAGAGGTGGCTAGTGTAATGATGACCATATCCCAACACAGACTGCTAATTGACCTATAAAATAAAGATCTTGCACTATGTCTAATACACCTGGAGGGGTGGAAAAAGGTTCTTTTAATGTCTTCTTCATTTTCAAGTTCAAGCTGTGTGACATTGGTAATCGTGTCTATCCACAGCCTTCTGTCTCGTGTACTTTCAATCAACTCTTACACAGATGATTTTCCATGCATCTTTTTCTCTCGGTCTCCCTCTGCCTCTCCTCCCCTCCAACTTTCCTACCATCACGATGTACGTCAGTGGTCTCCTTCTCATCAGATGACCAACGAATGTGGATTGTCTCTTTATAATGTGGGCCATCATTTCTCTTCTTTAAATGTTTTGAAAGGAAGTGATATAAGTGTTCCCAAATATGACTCACTCTGCACTGGCTTGCAGCTTTCGTCTGACGTCTGCATCAAAAGTGACGTTCATCATGGAGTTTAAAATACTGGTGGCAAACAAGGCAGCAGCTGTTGATGACTCCTGTAGAAATAGAAAAACAAAAGTGCAGGCAGTGCGGCCTGAAGAAAGACAACACAGAAAAAAAACTAAGAAAGACAACACAGAAAAAAACTAAGAAAGACAACACAGGTAACAAACTAAGAAAGACAACACAGGTAACAAACTAAGAAAGACAACACAGGTAACATACTAAAAAATACAACAAGGGTAATAAACTATTTAAAAAAAATATTTCTCCCAATTCATCTGCTGTTGGTCATCCATCATAAGTGAAGATGACCAGTTATTTTACCCACTAGTGGATATTGTGGACAGAGAATAAGAGAAATAAAAACATCCTAAAAGGTATAAACATCAAGGAAGATTGGCTAGTAAACAGCATCTTGTCTTAGAGGATGACATATTTTGGCCATATCAAGTGCCATGGCGGATTTTAAAAATAGTATAAAGCATGGTACCTGGAAGGAGGGGCAGGGGCCGACCAACACAAAGATGGGCACAGGATATAAGCAACTGCTTGAATATGGCAGTACACGAGGCGGGAGATCTGGTGAGAGACTGGGTTTCTTTAAGGCAGACCTTGATGAGAGCAAGATTCTGCTAGGGACCTGCTACCTGATGATGATAATAGTGGCAGAATGGAATTAGTGGTTGTGTAGATCTGCAGCCTCAGCTGCCAGCTACCCAACCATGCTGCTTTATGAATCACTACAGGACTTGGTAGCTTTGACTGAATCTGTGAATAGAGAGAGAAAAAAAAAAAAAGAATGACTACTTCTTCTTCTTTGTCTTTTCTCTACTCTCTTCCTCACTCCGCCAGGGTAAGAAGGTATCTCTGAATGGGCCCTTCTGTTCACTTCGTACATAGCATTTATGAGTGTCTCTGATAATTGTTTCTGTCCAATATTGCATGGTTGACCTCCGGCTCTGTTACCGCTGTATCTGCATAACACTGCTCTCAATGGTGCCCTGTCTGATGCCAGTCTTGTTACATGGCCAAACTATTTGATATATAGCAGGTCACAGGAGTTGACTTAGAGGTTTCCTTAGAGGTCTGAGGGCGTCTGCCTGAGAGGCAAGGTAGTAGCAGTCTGCATACAAAAAAGTCAGATCTGTAATATGGATGTGCATGCAGGTTCTGGAACAAGACAAGTCCAGATGCAAAGAAACAACCAGAACTTCTCTCTAGAGTTTACAGCCGGTGAACTGGAAGAAGAAGAAGACTGCCACAAAAACAGAGACAACTGGAGATCAAGAGGTTAAACACATTCACCTTACCCTTCCTTCCTGCCAAAATAATTTCGACAGCTTGTGGTTATTCATTAACACTGCCCAGATAAAGAGCTCTTGTGCTGGGGAGATGAAATCTATCGAGTGTCCTGATTGGTTTAGATCTGTTGATTGATTGAAATAAACAATTATGTCTTCCTTATCTGTAGTGATTACAGATAAATGATACAACAATAATAATGACTACACAGTCAGTAATAATGACTACATAAACAGCAATAACGACTACACAGACAGTAATAATGACTAAACAAACAGTAATAATGACTACATAAACAGTAATAATGACTACATAAACAGCAATAATGACTACACAGACAGTAATAATGACTATACAAACAGCAATAATGACTACAAAAACAGCACTAATGACTACACAGACAGTAATAATGACTAAACAAACAGTAATAATGACTACACAAACAGTAATAATGACTACACAAACAGTTATAATGACTACACAAACAGTAAAAATGACTACACAAACAGTAAAAATGACTGCACAAACAGTAATAATGACTACACAAACAGTAATAATGACTACACAGTCAGTAATAATGACTACATAAACAGCAATAACGACTACACAGACAGTAATAATGACTACACAAACAGTAATAATGACTACATAAACAGCAATAATGACTACACAGAAAGTAATAATGACTACACAAACAGTAATAATGACTACACAAACAGTAATAATGACTTCACAAACAGTAATAATGACTACACAAACAGTAATAATGACTACACAAACAGTAAAAATGACTGCACAAACAGTAATAATGACTACACAAACAGTAATAATGACTACACAAACAGTAATAATGACTACACAAACAGTAATAATGACTACACAAACAGTAAAAATGACTACACAAACAGTAATAATGACTACACAAACAGTAATAATGACTACAAAAACAGTAATAATGACTACACAAACAGTAATAATGACTGCACAAACAGTAATAATGACTACTAAACACAAACAAACAGTAATAATGACTACACAAACAGTAATAATGACTACACAAACAGTAATAATGACTACAAAAACAGTAATAATGACTACACAAACAGTAATAATGACTGCACAAACAGTAATAATGACTACACATGTTGTGCAGTAACTAGACACTGGCCTGCTGCTCTAAAGATCTTGGATTTCATTGTATCCTGGACTAGATGTTTATAAACACTTTCAACAAATATGAAATATCCCCTGCATGAAACCCTAGACAGAGCTAAGGGTCACGGACTGAAATGAGAAAGTTTTGGCCGGCTCAGGCTGAAGATACAATTAAAGATGTTTGCAAGCTTGAAAATATTAGGTGAGAAGATTGGCTGTGTTAAAGTGTGTTGAGTGTTGCGGGTGTTGCAGAATTAGAAGTTCAACAAATGATTCATAACAATTCATGCTCGGGTAATGTGATTATCTATTCATATGGCTTTTTGATGAGAGGCAGAAGAAGTGCAAAAACAAATGGATGTCACTTAGTACAAAAAAATTTAGTATATGATACTACAGTTTCTAGTTTGAGAATGGAGGTGGAGGCAGTCATAACAGCTTTTTATTTCTGCTTTCCATTGGCTTGAGAACCAAATATCCTAATTTGTATTTTTTGTGTTATTAGACACATTAGGTAATTAAACATTTAAAAGATATATAATTCACCAGTTTGGGCAGTAGAATTTGGATCAAAGTCATCGCTGAATTTTACGTTGATACCGGTGTATTCGTCAGTGAGATAGAGAGGCTGGTAGTAATCTCCAAGAAGATCCTGAATCAAGTGGCCCACGTCTGCTAGAGTGAATGGTCTGTGCTGTGAACAGAAGATGGTCATTGATTACCATACAAATATCAGTACAAAAGTAGACAAACATCATACATTACAATACCCCCATCTGGGATCCAAGGCCCACATTTTGGGGGGGGGGGGGAATAGACCCACTGCCCTATTACAACCATTCCTGTTGTGGGTTCTGGGGTCCCACTGTGAGGAAAACAAGAACTGACCCACTGCCTCCCCAACAAGCATGTCATAGGAGTCGACTTATTGGGAGCTTAATTTCTGTCGGAACAGCAAGTAACAACCAACTGCACACAAATAAGCCAGTAAAATGTATGTACACGCAAATCTCAGGCACTGGTACAAAGCCAAAGTCCAAATGGGCGAACAACTAGGACTTTCCACCAGAGTTTACAGCCAGTGAATATAGAAGGTGAAGAAAAAGTAACAAGCAAGTTATAAAAGGTGATTAATTAGGCACATTTTCTTTAAAGTCAGCGTGCATCTGCCTGGGAGGCAAGGAGCCAACAGTGTGCCAGTATGCATGCAAAAAAAAGCCAGATATGTGAAACTGATGTGTGCACAACATTTAAGTTCTGGAAAAGACCAAAGTCCATAAGTGGATGAGCAACCAGAACATTCCACCTGAGCATCTGGTACGCAAAAAGAAGATACATTACAATCATCATCATGGGGGTTTTCATGGTTACGTGGTCAAGCGTACTGCCTCATATTCTGAAGATATGGGTTTGTTTGACAGCTGCATAACTTGGTTTGGGAGTGCAATTTTTATGGAGATCAAATGGGATCATGTTTGGAGCTATGGAGTTTGTGCTTTGTACAGCAGTCTCTGCAGATAGCTAGCCATTTTGTGGAGAGAGGCCAAGCCGCCACCACAAACTGATGCAATAAAACCAATCCTCCTGACTCTATATATTTTTTAACCTTCTAACTCAATATGGTTTATGTTATTTGTTTATTTAATGGATTAACCTCATGGCACATGGCATCCTGGATTTTGCCTATATTCTGGGACAAAACAATTGATCAGCCTGACCTCGTATGCTGAAAAGCTTGTATCCAGGTACAAAAATATCTTGAGGTTCCACTGTGTGTGTTTTTTAAGAACAGAGCTTATACATTACGTAGCCAGGTAAAGACAACCCAGTGCTAGATACCGGTTAGTACGTTGATATATGAGAGGGCATCAAACGGAAACCTTAAAAGTGAGACAGAAATTATAATAACCTGTTCACTGTCTTGTAACCTACAAATACTGTTGTTAAGGGTGTCAAGAGTGTTAAGCATGCAACATTAGGGTGCAGACAAACATTCACATCACAATGACAGTTTAAAGATGGCTGCTTCACTTTTTACATGCACCAAAGAGGATCCGCATTCTGTTATCCAAGGAGCAAAACCTAAATAAATTCATCGGTGAATGAAAGTCCAGTATGGTAATGCATGCTGTCAATCCAGCAAGTATATGAGTGGAGCAGGAAGTTTTAAATGGTGTGCCTGACCTGGGTCATGAACAATCCATCACGGAAGTCACACCATTTTGAAACTTCTAGTACACTTTTATGTTTTTTATTAACTGAAAAGACCACATGTATGGATTATGAGATGGGATAACTAGACATCTTTCTCTTTCATGTTAGATACTGCAAGAAACCTCACCTCACAAATTTGTGACTAAATAGTTGCACAAATGTTATCACTTCACAGCAGAAGCAACTAGGAGAATTCACATTAATTTGTATTTTTAATAATGTTAAAAGGGGGTGGAAAGGGGGGGGGGGGGGGAGAGAGAATAAATATTTTATGATAATGAAGAATACCCTATGGATTTAACACAAAATTCAAGACAATTGTAGAATGTGCAGGTTCCAAGGTCCAGCGACCTAAGGAGGCATGAATGGCAAGGTAAGTTACTCTAATCATGAGCCTGGAAACATAAACAGGACCAATGTGCATTTAAAACTAATTCAAGGAGTGTCATGTTAATGAAGAAAATCAAAGTAAAACAAATTCAACAAACTTCAGGTCAATAAAAAACATCAAAGTAAAAGAAATTCAAGAAATTTCAGGTCAATGAAGAATGTCAAATTAGGGCAATACACAATTTAGGAAACACAATTAATTTAACTGTTTCAGTTTTTATGGCAGACGATATAACCTCTATAGAAATTAATAAGAAATTAATTTTAAAGAAAACAGATATAAATATGTTGCACAAAATACACATGCAAAAGGGCAATGCAACAGCCAGATTTCTTCAGCATGTTCTGACTTCACATGTTGTTATCGATCCAGCGGCGCATGAGCTTTCACCCTTTGGTCCAGTGCCATCTAGTGGAATTGCTGGGGTGTCTGTGGATTACCTACCTCCCCGGGGAGCAGCCAGAAATGCCTTGTACCAGTTCTAAAGGAAATGGAAATAAGGGTTGTGTTTCTGCCTTTCCCTTTAACAGGTAGCTAAGGTGGGGATTACAGTGTGCTCATTCCCCGCCACCAGATTGCCTGCTGGTTTCGCTGAGCTCTTCATGGCTCTAAGCATGGCCTAAGCATGAGTAGTTGGGGCAACTGGATCGTCACGTCCTGAGTCCCTGTGCCTTCACGATAGTTTCCGGTATTCAGGGGGGTTAGCATACTTGTTTCCACTCCTAAGACTGTTCAGCACCCCTCTGGCTCCTTCCCTCCCACAGGGGGCAGTACGGTGTGGTGCACTGGGTTTATTATCGAGGTTTGCTCCTCTAGATCCATTGTGTTTTGCCTGAGGATTCGCACCCCCAGTTACCAGGACTACCTCGGGGAGGCTGTGACACCACAATGGACGCTCCTTTCATGAATAGATATTCACTAGACCTAGTGTGAAGTAAGGTGGGGGGGGGGGGGGCACTACCCACAGCACCTACACATAAAACTTATAGCAATATATTATGTGATTGTGGCGACTCCAAAGAGCCAATCACACATAATGCGGTACTGAAAGAGTTTAAATATAAAATCACAATGGCAAAACCGAAAAGGAATAAAACTGCATACATAACCTAAAAATATATTTTTTTAAATACTCACTGAAACTATGGGGAATACAACTGACAGACTAAAGACAAATAGCAATAGAGGTTGTCAGTCACAGAGAAAGGAAAAAAAAAACAGCATTTGAAGCTAATAAAGAATACAAAATGAAGTTTTAGTGGTTAATTTAAAAAAAAAAAACCTTATGATAAATCATATTTATCTGTGACCTATAAACTGTGTGAATATTAAAAATTAGATCTGTTCATGATTAGTTCCAAATTGTGTGTCTAATATTCATAACACTGAATATTATAAATTTTAATTGTTCATGATTAGTTTCAAACTGTGTGTGTATTATACACAACATTAAATAATATAAATTGGATCTGTTCATGATTAATTTCAAACTAATCATTTATATTCTTTCATTCTAGCTGGTTATAAATGATAGCTTCAAGAGTAAACTGTTGCAGTTATCAGCATAGTGCCAATCAAAAATAGCAACTTTTAAAAACAGATTTCATAATTATTTGCTGATAAAAGTTACAAACAATTTGACTATGAAAATGAATACTTTTACAACAAAAGGCAAAACTAAAAAAGCATATATGTCTGTAAATACATATAAACTGGTGGGGACATAAACACAATGCAAAATATGTGCATTGCAAATGCATAGAGTACACAACAAATACTTATACAAAGGGACTATCACTCACTTCACTGTTCTTATCATGTCTACCCTATATTGAGCAGCAATGAATGCAATAAAGAGCCAGTTTAATCAAATGTTATCCACGTTAATCAAATATCAGCCCCGTTAATAAAGAGTTAGCCAATTTATTCAAATGTTCACATTGTTAGGCGAATGGCCATGACAATACAATACTGGCCATTTAAATAAAATTCTGACCATGTTAATCAAATGTTGGCCACGCTAAACAAATTTTAGCCATTTTTAATCAAATATTGGCTATGTGAGTCAAATGTTGGCCATGTGAATTAAATTTTAGCCATGTTAATGATATGATTACAATGTTAATCAGATGATTTCCATGTTAATTATATGTTAGCCATGTTAATAAAATGTTAACTATATTAAAAAATTTTAGCCAATTGAAACAAATGTTGGTCATTGAAAAAAATTCTGACTACATTAATCAAATACTGGTCATATTAATCAAAAGTTAGCCATGTTAATCAAATGCTACCAGGAAAGGCACAAGATTATATATTCAGAGAGAAAATGTGATATGTGATTCAGAGAGAAAATGTGATGTGTGATTCAGAGAGAAAATGTGATGTGTGATTCAGAGAGAAAATGTGATGTGTGATTCAGAGAGAAAATGTGATGTGTGATTCAGAGAGAAAATGTGATGTGTGATTCAGAGAGAAAGAAAATGTGATGTGTGTGAGAAAATTCGGAGAGAGAAAATGTGATGTGTGATTCGGAGAGAAAATGTGATGTGTGATTCAGAGAGAAAATGTGATGTGTGATTCAGAGAGAAAATGTGGTGTGTGATTCAGTTGAAAGAATTCAAGTGTTTGCTTTATTAGTGGGAGTTGTGGTAGCACAGTAGCTGGACACTCGTCTATTGACCCAAAGATCTTGGGTTTGATTCTATGTTGGTGCAAATATTTTTGCTTTGTTTTGTTTTTGTTTTGTGAATTGACCTTGGCTTTTAGGTGCACCCCAGCTATAAATGGGTCCCAGGTAATATCCTGAGAAGTAAAGGTGGACACCATGATGCTGACCACATCTCTAACCAATTACTGACTGGTCCATAAAAATACAACTCTAGCATAATATGTCCATTAAACCAAATATTCAAAAACTGTATTTTCCCATTTAGATGAACCCTAAATACTAAACAACAAAATATATCAAATACATGAAAACTGACACTTACAAGAATATCTGAATGTTTCTTGACAGTTTTCCTTAACAATGTATACAGCAGGCAATTTTTGGGTATCTGCAGAAATTGTATGGGCAACACTTAATGAAACAGGTTACATATTGTCAATTCTAATGTTATTTTAATGTTAACATAATGCCAGAGAAAACTGCAGACCCACTAAAGATATGGAAGGAAAGTTAAAGGCATTAAAAAATGCCTGAGAAAAATGGTGAACATAAAATGGAATGAATTCAGCAGGAGTGAAGAAATAAGAGAAATGTCTGAGCAACCAATAATTTCAACAGTTATAAGACAAAGAAGATGGCGCTGTATTGGATACATTGTGAGAAAAGATGATCAGAGACTCCCCAAATGGGCAATGAAATGAGAAAAAGAAGAATTGAGAAAACAAGCATGTCTAAGAGAAACCCTCAGTTGAACCTTGAGAAGACATGCCAAAGATGCTGGAGAAGATTATATTTATGTAAAAGTGACTGCACAAGACAGAACAGAATGGACAGTTAATGACACAACAGAACATTAAATTAACTTCTTGAAACAGCTGTGAATAGCTGTGTATGACTGATTTATTAACTTTCTTAGTAATGATTGATTTCAACATCTCTTCTGGTACTAAGCTGGTGTCTGATTATTCATTTGTTAAAATGTATCATCATCATCAAGTGCCCTGTCAGCTGGCATAGGCATTTATGCATCTCCACAGATCTCAGTCTTTGGTGTTCTGGATCAATTCCACTGATGATATTCCTCCATGTCACTGTTTTAATCTATCATCATTTCTCTTGGTCTGCCTCTTCCACCAATGAACGTTCCAGTCATCACAATATTTTCCAGTGCTCCTTTTCTCATTCCATGACCAAAGAACTTTGTTTGTCTCCTTCTCATTGTTGTATATAATTTTCTACTTTCATTAGCCATTTTCAGGCAATTATTTTTAGTTATTCTGGCAGTCCAGGGTATTCACAACATTCTTCTCAAGAATCACATCTCACTTGCCTCCAAACTCTTCTTAATTTGTTTGCTCACATTTCATTTCACTGCTTTACAACAGAACAGGCTCGATGTAACATTTCATTCCTCGTTTGTACTATCATCATCGTAGTAAACTTCTACTTTTGCCCAAGAGTGTCATGGTGGAGAAACAGTCTGTGATTCATTGCTCCATAGGTGGCACTAGTTACTGTCATCCTGTGTCGATGCTGAACGTCTGTAATGAAAGGACTGGTGTCGTCAACCACTACCTGGATTTACTGAAGAGGGGATCCGAGCACTTATGGACTGAATGGTGCAAAGAAGATAATCTATTGACTAACTAACTAGCTAACTAAAACTAAATAACTAACTAACTAGTGAGCTAGCATGCTAACTAACTAAACATAACTAGCTAGCTAACTTAGTAACTAACCAACTAGCTAGCTAAGTAACTAACCAACTAGCTAGCTAACTAACTAACTGACTAGCTAGCTAGCTAACTAACTAACTAAATAAATAACTAGTAAGCTAGATAGCTAACTAACTAAACTAACATAACTAACTAAGTAACTAACTAACTAACTGACTAACTAGCTAAACTAACATAACTAACTAAGTAACTAAACAACTAACTAACTAACTAACTAACTAACTAACTAACTAACTAACTAACTAACTAACTAACTAACTAACTAACTAACTAACTAACTAACTAACTAACTAACTAACTAGCTAAATAACAAGTGAGCTAGGTAGCTAGCTAACTAAAGTAACATAACTAACTAGCTAACTAAGCAACTAACTAACTAACTAACTAGTTAGCTGACTAACTAACTAACTAACTAACTAATTAACTAACTAACTAACTAACTAACTAACTAACTAACTAACTAACTAACTAACTAACTAACTAACTAACTAACTAACTAACTAACTAACTAACTAACTAACTAACTAACTAACAAACTAACTATTTAACTAACTAACTAACTAACTAAATAACTAGTGAGCTAGCTAGCTAACTAACTAAACTAACATAACTAACTAACTAACTAACTAACTAACTAGCTGACTAAGTAGCTAAACTAACATAACTAACTAGCTAACTAAGTAACTAAACAACTAGCTAACTAACTAACTAACTAACTAACTAACTAACTAACTAACTAACTAACTAACTAACTAACTAACTAACTAACTAACTAACTAACTAACTCACTAACTAACTAACTAACTAACTAACTAACTAACTAACTAACTAACTAACTAACTAGAACTAGCTAACTAACTAACTAACCAGTTAACTAACTAACTAACTAAATAAATAAAAAAAACTAGCTAGCTAGCCAGCTAGCTAACTAACTAACTAACTAACTAACTAACTAACTAACTAACTAACTAACTAACTAACTAACTAACTAACTAACTAACTAACTAAATTACTAACTAACTAGCTAACTAACTCACTAATTAACTAAATAACTAGTGAGCTAACTAGCTAACTAACTAAACTAACATAACTAACTAGCTAACCAAGTAACTAACCAACTAACTAAACTAACTAGCTAGCTAACCAAACTAACTAATTAACTAGCTAGATAACTAACTAGCTAATTAACTAACTAGTCCCGTTGCTGAATTTCAATTTTGCATGCACATCCGTTTGACACATCTGACTTACTTTTATGCAGCTGGTTTCTCACCACTTAAGCAGATGTGTTCCCACTTTTACTACATGCTTGCAAGGGAGGTAGCGGCTCTATGTTTTCCACCAACATGGGACCACCTTAACCAATGCTGGGAGGATGATAATGCCAATGATAAACATGACACTGATCACCTTGAAGACAAAGTGCAGTAGGAAAAGTACAGAAACAAAGAAAAGAGAAGATAATGCCAATGATAAACATGACACTGATCACCTTGAAGACAAAGTGCAGTAGGAAAAGTACAGAAACAAAGAAAAGAGAAGAAAATGCCAATGATAAACATGACACTGATCACCTTGAAGACAAAGTGCAGTAGGAAAAGTACAGAAACAAAGAAAAGAGAAGAAAAATCAGGAAAAACTTACACTGTTGTACAATTTAATTAGCCTTTCCACTGTCACAAAATCCTTGAGGAAAACACCATGATCCAGGAACAGATCTACAAAATCCACCCGGTTGAGCTGGATCGCTGACATCATAACCTCATCTAACATTCCCGTCTGAGGAAGATGGAATTGAAAATATATTTATACATATTTTTTTAAGCCTTGTTCAACATTCAAATCTTTTCCTATTGGCGACCGGGTAGCCCATTGGCATCTTCATCATTGGTCGGGACAGTATTTGGGTCAGTCTCCTTTGATCGCATTAACACTGCAGGAATCCTATATCCTTTTCAGGGCTCTTTGTGGCGAGCAAATGCTAAGACATTTTATATGGTGCGCATAAACTTGGCACAATTATAACCTATAGCTCCACCTTTGGGGATTTTGGTTGAACATGACCATTTCTTTTTTTTTTTTTTTTTTTTAGCAAAGCAACGAAATGGAACAAAGTTGTTTCCCCCATGTAAAAAATAAGCATGTTGTAAGAGTTGACTAATTTTCTGTGAAAGTCAGCGTGCATCTGCCTAACAGGCGAGGAACACACAGTCTGCATAAAAATAAACTATATCTGTAAAAAGAATGTGCATGCAAAAACTCAGATTCTAGAATAGGACTGAAGTCCAGAAGTGGATGAACAAACATAACTTTCTGCCAGAGTTTAGAGCCGGTGAATGCGAAGAAGAAGATTCAAGTCTGAGGAAGTGAGAAGAAAAGAATCACTATTACAGATTTCTCCAATATTGAAGTCTGATCAGACTGAATAATCACATCCTTCAACATTCTAGTCTGAGATGACAGACAGAATAACCACATGCTTAAACATTCCAGTCTGAGATGACAGACAAAATAATCACATCCTTCAACATTCCAGTCTGAGATGACAGACAGAATAATCACATCCTTCAACATTCCAGTCTGAGGACAGACAGAATAATCACATCCTTCAACATTCCGGTCTGAGATGACAGACAAAATAATCACATCCTTCAACATTCCAGTCTGAGATGACAGACAAAATAATCACATCCTTCAACATTCCAGTCTGAGATGACAGACAGAATAATCACATCCTTCAACATTCCAGTCTGAGATGACAGACAGAATAACCACATCCTTCAACATTCCAGTCTGAGATGATAGACAAAATTAAAAATACTTTTAGCCTCATCTAAATTCTCTGAGTCTGCTGACATAATTTAATCGTGATTATATTCCACCAGTAATGGAGAATACAGACATTTTTTAAACATACCCGCCATCGCCGGTCATCGGTGAAGATTTCAGATTTGGCAACATCAATTCTGTTCCAGGCAAGCGCTAGTTTCAACTGGTCCATGAGAACATTCTTGTTGGCTGAAACACCGAAAAGAAACTCTTTCATGAAAACTGTTTCGTTTTGTAAAATTTTATTGTGTTTATGCCTGGATTTATGTGCCAGGTCTTGGTCAGATATGAACTAAGTTACTGAATAAGAGTAGCCGGACCTTTTTTTTCTGTTAACTCTGAAAGTTGGGTGATGTTGTTGTTGTTCGTCCATCACGAGCGATGAAGACCACTTTCATCCAAAGTGATAGATGGATGAAAGTGACTTGCACAAGGGCTTGGATTTAAGTGAGGAAGAGTTGCGCAGTTCGTTAACCCTCACTCTCTCTCTCCTGAGTCCATCTTGATCCAATAGCAGAACAGTGTCGAGACAATTGGAAATAGACCTAAGTGGATCAGGACAGTTCTTTTATAGCTCCAGCAATCATTCCCAGGGATCAGAACAGTTCTTCCATAAATCCAGCAATGATCGCCAAGGGATCACATCAGTTCTTAAATAGCTCCAACAATGGTTCTCCAGGGATCAGGACAGTTCTTCTATAGCTCCAGCAATCATTCCCAGGGATCAGAACGGTTCTTCCATAGTTCCAGCAATGATCCCCAAGGGATCAAAACAGTTCTTCTTTAGCTCCAATCCAGCATTGAACCCCCGGGGATCACAACAGTTCTTCCATAGCTCCAGCAATGCTCCCCAGGGATCTCCATAAAACTGCACTCGTGAATGATGCATCCAAGAAATGAGCCCATGAGATTCAAAGCATGAGGCAGACAGCTTGACCGACCACTTCACCATGGAGAGTTTCAATACATTTATCAATTACTGTTTGCAAGGTATACCTTTCTTAATTTCTCTAGAGAAGTAGTATTCTCATTGTTTTCTTCTTCAGGGTATGCAGCTCTTTTAGGAAATGAAGAAGCATACACACTGGTAGGTCAAATCCTCAATCCATTTGCCTCACGCTCTGAAGGTCTTGGGTTCATTTCATGGCTGCATCGTTAAGTTCATGAGTGGAGATCCCTGGGGATCGTAGCATGAGCTATGGAGTTCATGCAAAAGGCTAGCAATTCTGTGGAGAGAGACCGAGCCAGGTCGGATAAAATCCAGTGCAATGAAGTTGATCCTCCCACCTTTAATTCTTTATCTAGTATTGACCAACAACAAGATGGAAAAACAACATCAGAGAAACTTTCAACAACAAGATGGAAAGATAAGATCAGAGAAACTTTCAACAACAAGATGGAAAAACAACATCAGAGAAACTTTCAACAACAAGATGGAAAGATAAGATCAGAGAAACGTAACAACAACAAGATGGAAAGATAAGATCAGAGAAACTTTCAACAACAAGATGGAAAAACAACATCAGAGAAACTTTCAACAACAAGATGGAAAGATAAGATCAGAGAAACTTTCAACAACAAGATGGAAAGATAAGATCAGAAAAACTTTCAACAACAAGATCGAAAGATAAGATCAGAGAAACTTAACAACAAGATGGAAAGATAAGATCAGAGAAACTTAACAACAACAAGATGTGTCTGAGATCGAGACGGCCAGAAGAGCAAGAAGCAGAACCTTATATCTCCCTCGACACCCAAAGTGGTAAAAAAGGAAGTGAAGAAGAAGAAACTTCTACATTCACTCTTGAAAGAGCAGTTGGCACCTTGCGGTTTTTCAAGTCGTTTGTAAGCCTGTCACTTTCATCCAGTCCCCAGCTCACTGTCCTGTTGTTAGATCCTCGTTACCCCGGGAGTGATTAGTTCATCCATCAAACTAATCTGGTCGAAGTCTCAGTGGGTTAGTTCATCCATCAAACTAATCTGGTCGAAGCCTCAGTGGGTTAGTTCATCCATCAAACTAATCTGGTCGAAGTCTCAGTGGGTTAGTTCATCCATCAAACTAATCTGGTCGAAGTCTCAGTGGGTTAGTTCATCCATCAAACTAATCTGGTCGAAGTCTCAGTGGGTAAGTTCATCCATCAAACTAATCTGGTCGAAGTCTCAGTGGGTTAGTTCATCCATCAAACTTATCTGGTCGAAGTCTCAGTGGGTTAGTTCATCCATCAAACTAATCTGGTTGAAGTCTCAGTGGGTTAGTTCATCCATCAAACTAATCTGGTCGAAGCCTCAGTGGGTTAGTTCATCCATCAAACTAATCTGGTCGAAGCCCCAGTGGGCTGTTGAACATAAAGTCCCTAAGTGGTCAACTAAGTACTAGTCCACTATTTATCTTCATCATCATACACTGTCATTTCATAGTGTAATGACTGCCCTTTTGTGTCTCCTCCACAGACAACCATTAGTTTATGCTCATTCAATAATTCAAATATGTCCAAAAGTCTTTATACCCTGAAGTTGATCAGTTGGCATAGATCACTAAATGTTCACAGTTAGCGCATATTCATTTCACTAATTGTCACCACAAACTGTTGATAAATGTTAGATTCTCACTAAAACTCTTTTCTTACAAAGAATGTATGTAGTTCTACTCTACAATCTGAATAGTCATAGTCTATCACATTAATCACTGTTTTTACTGTCTATCCATTATAAATTGTAAACATTTCGTGACGTAATTAATGTTGATAAACACCACTCCTTCCTTGTCTACACAATACACACGAACTCACCTATACGGACGTATTACAAACATTTAGTAGTACAAGTACTACTGCTGGTACTGACTGGACCCCGTTCTTTTTTATTGACAAGTATTCTTAACCTGAGGCATTCACTTGTGGCTGGTGTGCTGTACGGTTGCCTCGAGTTAGCTGTCGCTGATGACGTTTTATCTGCTACTGTGTTGTACGTGACCGTTGTTGATGACCTTGCTCGCTGTAACTGAGTGCCGTCTTGGCCCCCGGCCATGCAGTGTTCTTGCGGTGAAATCTAGTCCGAAAATTCGTATCTCTGGTTTATGACCTCTTGTTTGACGAACAAAAACCCACGTCAAACAACAGTCACAGGGATACCGTTGCTGACAATTTTCCGTCGTGGATTACCCACCACAAGGGTCAAAAGTTCAGCTTACAGTCTCTTCCAGCGACGAACAAGCGTTCCCGCGGGATGAAACGTGTACAATTTTTTCACACGTGAAGTGAATACATTACCCAGTATTGCTTCGCCGTGTTTCTGCCCATTTTTCTCAGGCTAGCTTGTTTGTTTCAGAATGACTAGAGTCTGGAATTCAGTTGTCCCGGTTTTACTTAATGCCCTTGACAGCATGTCCTGGTCTTACATAATATCCCGACATTTCTTTAAACTCCATCTTCCAACACACATAGTCACTCAAAACTTACGGCTGCCGGTATTTGCCTAAATTTTACTTCTGTCCACAAAAACACTACGTCTAATGTACTGGCATAGTTATAACATGCCTGCACTGTAACTCATATTTATAACTTACAATGTATTCGCACTTAGGACGAGCCCCCAATGTAATGACTGCCCTTTTGTGTCTCCTCCACACTGACTATCTGTGGTGCAGAGTTAACACTGGCTCTAATATCTAGAGGTTCACAACTCAATCAACGCAGACATGATCCTCTTCATGGTCACACAACGTCTAACAACGGTTAACACCAGCGGCACATTTCACGAGTTTATTTACACGTTAGCTCAATACACAAATCACAGGTGAATCCACTTACAGCATTCGGACAATAGACGTTGACATATTCACAGCTGGCTTTGACAATCAAACAGGGTACCATTCACAGCTGGCCTTCTCGATCATTCATTCCTCGCCGATTCAAATCCACATGCTCTAGTCATTCTCCATTCATCTTCACAGCTTCATTTTCCATCCTTTCTCTCTGGGGCCCAGTCACCGAATGCCCGCCTGATTCTCAATCCCCCAGATCTCCTCATTCACACGTGACACTCTTTCCTGTCGTTTCACCATATCTCCGTGAAACACATGCTCTTAGGGACTTCCCCAGTTATGCCAATCATCCCCTGACATTATCCCTATTTATAACATCATTACACATAGCCACACAGGACCCTGACACCGCCCAAAACATTCAAATAAAAAGAAAAAATCTGAATTAGTTGCCCTTTACGACATACTTGTTGGGAGAGGCCCTGGAACCCACACAAGATTGTGTGTTACTTTAACTCATTACAAGCGGGTAGGACTCAAGAATGATTAATTTCCAATACAAAATCATTGTGCTGCAATTAAACTGCCCGTATTGAAAGAGTTAATTTACACAGTGATTCTTGTTTACCTTTCAGTAAGGCTTTCAAAATGGCCAGGTCGACATCTTTAGCAGAATTTTTGGAATCCAGTTCAAAGACTGATAAAAGGTCACGTTTGCTGCAACAGTCTTTGACCCACTCTATTCTTGTATCCAAGCTCGATTCACCAAAGTGGGTTTTAACCATCTCTTTGATATCGGCGATGACGTGAGCCTCTAGGACGTAGTTTGTTCTGAAAATTTGAAAAGTAGGAGATTGCAAGATCAGGCAGCATTTCTTAGAAATCTTTTTTCTTCTTCTTCGCGTTCACTGGCTGTAAACTCCGGTAGAAAGTTATGGTTGTGCGACCACTTCTGGACTCTAGTCCTGTTACAGAAACTGAGTGTCGCATGTACATCCATTTCACAGGTCTGACTTGTTTGCATGCAGACTGTTGGTTCCTTGCCTCTCAGGCCGATGTACTCTGACTTCAAAGGAAGCCCCCAATTAGTCGACTCTTATGACATGCTTTTGGGCAGGAAGAGGGTCTGTTCTTGTTTTCGCCACAATGGAGCCCCGGAAACCACAAGGGAATTCATTAGAAATGACTGCTAAAGGGTGATGCAAAATTGAAACATGAATTTTCATGAAACAAAAAACAGTAAAATTCTTCTTCTTCTTCTGTCATCATCAACACCAAGTGCCTTGTCGACTAGCGTGGGCAATTATGCCTCTTCACAATATGTGATCTTTAACAGCATGCATCAATTTGTGTGCTAACATCCCTCCATGCCATGACAAAAGTCCACCAAGAATCTTCTCAGGTTGTCTTCTCCTGTCTCTGCAGACCTAAAAAAGTTAGGCTGCTATAAAATATGAGATATATCAGTGTTATAGGGTATTTTAGGAGTTAGCTCCCCTGTTTCCAAAAGTGGATCCACACACACACACACAAATCATTTTTGAAACACTCACTCTTTTATTTCAGCTCCGCTCTGATCATAGACAGTGGAGTGATCTTCCCTTGCATTCTGATAAGCATATGCTAGAATGTCTGCAGTTTTTCCAGACCCCTGGCATAGAGAAGGGTAACGTAAATTAATTTCTCTAAATATACGTTCTAGTATCTGCTAAAGTCAAAGTGTCTGTCTTGCAACACCAAGATCAAAATGTATAAAACGTTGATAAGACCAGTCATTTTATATAGCTCTGAAACTTGGAGCCCAACTAAAAGAAATGAAGCCTTATTACAAGTTTTCAAAAACAGAGTCTTACAACAAATCTTTGGACCCATCAAAAATGTAAACAGCGGGGAATGGAGAGATCACTGACATCATGAGAGCTAATAGACTGAAATGGTTATAGCATACTGAGAGAATGTCAAATGACAGAGAAGTGTAAACTGTATACACAAGGGACATGAATCATCGAAGACTATGAGAAAGACCAAGAAGATGATGGAGAGATAATGTTTAGACAGACCTGCAAACACTTGGTGTCACCAACTGGAAAGAGAAGGCCAGCCAGAGAGATGAATGGAGGCGGGTGATATCTGCAGCAATAAACCTCAAGGGCTCAGAATGCTAAGGAAGAAGAAGAAGATACGTAGTAGTACCGTACCACTGCATTAGTAAGTCATGCTAGCAAAACCCTCTTTTGAATTATCATGAAGACGATTGAAAGGAAACTACAATATGAGCTACATGAAGCTCAAGCGGGTTTCGGACAAGGTAGAAGAACTAGGGATCACATCTTTAATTTTAAAATAATTTTGGAAAAAATGTACAGAATACAATGTAGATCTGCATGCTTGTTTCATTGACTATAACAAAGCCTTTGATTGTGCTCAACATCAGAAACTGTGGCGTATTATGAGAAGTATGGGGGTTTCCAGCACATTTGGTGCATTTAATTAAAAATTTATATCATGAACAACAAGCAGCCATCAGAGCAGCTGGTGAAACATCAGTTTGGTTTAGGTGCAAGAAGGAGTGAGGCATGGGTACATTCTTTAACCATACCTATTCAATATATATACAGAAAACATAATGAGAAATGTCAAAAATGATCAGACATGTGACAGTTATGATCCGCTCAAAATTGGTGGCAACCCTATTCCGGAACTCCGCTACGCATATGATACAGTCCTCCTTACGAACAGCGTAAAGGGAATAGAACATGTAATCATGTCTGTCCAAAAGCACAGTGAAGATCAAAAAACCTGTTCTTGAATTTAAAGAAAACAAATATAATATCCACAGACAAAACTGTCTGTAACCTAAAAAAAAAAAAACAATAAATGATGAAGAAATTGAAAATGTCACAAATTTTGAATACCTGGCCTCTATAATAGATAGCAAAAGAGACTGTTTGATAGAAAAGAAGGATGGTCATAGCAATACAAAGATTAAACAACATTAAAAGCCTATGGTTAAGCACCAGCAAGGAAATAAAAATGAAAGTTTTGAGAGCATTCATCTTCCCTGTAGCAACATACGGATGTGAGTCATGGACTATCTCCCAGTTCTAAAGAAAGAAAGTAGGCACTTTTGAGCTGAAATGCTACAGAAAGATTCTCAGAATACCAAGGACAAAGAAGAGAAGAAATATGACATTTTAAAAGATCTGAACATCAAGGAAGATTGGTTAATAAACAGCATCCTGTCTCAGAAGCTGAAATATTTTGGTCATACCAGGCAGCACTGCAGATTGGGAAGAATTATAGCAGAAGATGTGGTAACAGGCAGGAGGGGCAGGGGCCAACCAGCACAAACATGGGTACTGCTGATATCAAGAAGTTGTAGACACAACACAAACTATGACTCGAAAGCTCAATGGATAAGGTACGTAACTGATGAATTTAAAAAAAAAAAAGGTCTGTTGTCATGCCAGTTGGGATTTCTAGTCAAATATTATGTTGTTTTTAGTTATTTCATCCCTTCTGGCTTGTCATTCTTGCAGCCTTGCAGCCATTCACAGTCAACACTTGATTCCTTTAGAGCAGTGTTTCTCAAACATTTTTCCCCACGGTACCCTTGTCGTGCAAAAAATGTTTTCATGGTACACGTAACCTTAAAACGGTTTGAATACTTAGGAAAAAACAGGGGGAAAAAAAACAGTGCAGATTCAAGTTGTCTTTAATGCAATGAATGAAACTGTTTGGATGAATTTGTGATTATTTCCTGGATGTTTATGGGAAGTTTAGTTAGCTGTACCCTCAGATCACTTGAAGGTTGCTCCTGTATATGAATTTTCTTTATGTAAGCGCACGTTGAGAATGCACAGCAGCCTTGCCAATAGCATTGTTTTCTAAATACACCTGCATCCAGAACTCTTCTTGGATTCCTTCATGGAATTTCGGTTTTAAACTGCTGTCTTCATGGAATTTCGGTTTTAAACTGCTGTCTTCGCTGATCTCAAGCAGACTTTTTAAAATTCTTGATTATTGTCGCAGCACCCCTGGCATACCCTAGCAGCACCCCTGGAATTATTTTATACTGAACTAAACAATAAAATTATTGCAGTTAAAATCACCACCTTAATGACAACAGTTGGTGTCCCACTGTTCAATGCCAGGTGTACTGTTTGCAATGTGCCAGGTCCCCCTTCTAGAACTAACAGGCAAATAGGGACAGAAACCGCATCTGGGGAGAAAATGTTGAAACACAATATTTATTCACTGATATGATACTAAGGAAAAAACTGAAAATCCCCTTTCACGCCTTTTAGGCGCATCGGGCATATGGGAAGAGCACCATATTTTTACAGACCAATCAGCACTAGGTGGGTAATGTGGTTAGCATTATGCCGGCCGTCTTTACTTTCCCAGGACATACATCCTGGTACCCATTTTAGGCTAAGTCGACTGATGACTCCCCCCTACAACAATATAAAAATCCATGCAGCCAGCAGTGGGTTTCAATCACGGTATGTTGGAATTACGAGTCAGACTCGCAACGCCTAAGCCATGGACGTTGTGATATGATACTTAAACACACATAAAATTTTGTTTAAAGGCATTAATATGGCTGATAAACAGAATTATAAATTTAGTCATATATATATATATATATATATATATATATATATATATATATATATATATATATATATATATATATATATATATATATATATATATATATATATATATATATATATATATACACACACACACATGACTCCAGAATTTCTCAGAACAAATTGGACTCCAAATTTACACCGCAAAAACAAAAAATTCTAGACCTTACCAACAGTTCAGTTGATATCACGCTGAACAACAACAGCCTTGAAAAAGTCAACAGTTTCACTTATCTAGGGAGCAAGATGTCATCTACAGGAGATACCGCACCAGAAATATCATTTAGAATAGCACTGGCATCTAGTGCCTTCAATAAACTGTCTAACATCTGGAAATCAAAGACACTTAGCAAACACACAAAAACTCAAGATCTTCAATTCTTGTGTGATTCCAGTACTAACCTATGGATGCGAGAGTTGGAAATCAACGAAAACTCTAGACACAAAATTAGACAGTTTTGAAAATAAATGCCTTAGAAGAATACTAAATTTCAAATGGTCAGATTTCCGAACCAATACACAAATAAGGCAAGAATCCAGGCAAGAGTATGTGTCTAATTTTATACGAAAACGCCGCTGGAACTATGTCGGCCACGTCCTTAGAATGGATAAATCAAGACTTCCTTACCAAGCCCTCATTTGGACACCACAGGGGAAAAGATCTCGTGGAAGACCAAGGGAAACCCTACGTAGAACTATCATCAGGGAAGGCTCGCTCATGGGCCACTCAAACATCCAAGACCTACAACGGATTGCAACGGACCGCCGTGCATGGAGAGTCACGACCTCTGCCCTATGTGCCGCACTCGACACAAGAGGAAAGACTAACTAACTAACACACACATATAATTTTAAACAATTAATTTAAATACTTGGGAATTTATTACCATTTTTGTTTGTTTGACATGTCAGATTTCACAACCAAAATCAGGAAAACAGCTGATTGAAAAAGAGATGATCCGACTGAAATAATTTGCTCAACGTCATTCTAACCTACATTATCGCCAGAAGGTTTGTCATTTGTACTATCATTCATAATATCAAGAATATTGTCATAATCTGACTGAGACTCATCAATGACAGAGTAGTATGAACAGTTCTACACCTTTTTTCTTATCAATTGCTCTGGAAAAAAATCACATAAAAATTGTATCACATGTAATTATTCTAAAACAAATCAGAAAGTGGTGTAAAAAGCATGCTGAACTTCAAAAACAAAAGGACTCCTTTTCGCTAATTATAATTTTTCAAAATATGTTCATACAAAATCTTTTTCCCAGCAAACGAAACAATATTAGAGTGTCTCTATCAAATGCCACTTTAAGGCTGATTAGTCCTAGCGGGATGAATTCAAACACCACTTAAGTGGCAATTAATCCACAAAGCGTTAAGAAAAGTCCAACCTGCTCCTGTGTCAGTCTTCTGGGCTGCAATGGCCTCTTCCAGCTTGGCTCTGAATGGTATCTCCACGGTGAACTTGTGCTGTGTACCATTGTCGACTAAGATGAAGTGTGTGTGGTTCGGATCTAGGAATGATTCCTTGGCTTTCTCTTTGCTGTCTATTCTGTAAGATGCTGGCCATTTCCCTTGACACTTGAAAAACAAAAATGACAATAGACAACAATTTATTTCAAACATTTCCCAGTGTTGGTTCCAGGGAAAATTCTGGGGAAGAAAAGAATAGACCCACTGATCTCCTCCGAAACAAGCATGTGGTAAATGTAGACAAATAAGGACATTTCCTTCAAAGTTGGAGTGCACTCACCTGAGATGCGAGAAACCAACAATCAGCTTACAAATAAGCTAGATCTGTAAAACAGACGAGTTACACAAAACTCAAGTTGTAGAACAAGACTAAAGTCCAGAAGTGGACGCTGCAGTGTTCAGTTTGTAAACATGAAGAAAAAGAAGAAGAAGAAGAAGAAGAAGAAAAAGGAGGATGAGAAGAAGAATAGGAATAATAATAATAATAATAACAATAATAATAAGAAGAAGAAGAAGAAGAAGAACAAGAACAAGAAGAAAAAGAAGGAGGAGGAGAGGAGGAGGAGAAGAAGAAGATTTCACAAGTTTATTTAACAGGAAGCATCTATGGAAGTAATGAGGAACACCAAAGAATGGTCAATTTTATCAGAAGAGCTTGTCTGTCTGTTTGAATGAAGCAAGTCATCACACACGCACACACATAAAGAAGAAGATTTGATAGGAAGCAAACAAATACATAAAGATGCCAGCAGTGAGAGCATAACAAATAAAAAATGAATCATCATCAAGAAGCAGAGGGAGACCTTGAAGAGGATAGATTGAAGAAATAACTGGCAATCTAAGACTCCACTATCATGGGCTGACAGCTCATGTGTTTGTGTATCTGACTGAATAGAGGAAACAGGTAATGAGTGTAGCAACAGAATAGACTAAATATAAGTTACCAAATACCCACTGGAAAGAGACGGAGTGGTAAACAAGTTAGCAATGCTTGACGTGTGAACAGATCAATACTTGAAATGGGTATATCCAGGAAGTCAAGTCAGCCGGAACTTAGGACAAGAAGGTGACCGGGAGATGGAGTTTAGACATTGCCAGCGATGGCAGATTGGAAAAATAATAGCAGAAGGCATGGTACCAGGCAGGAGGGGCCCACATGAAGATAGGCATGGGATATAAGTGACTCCTTGAATATGAAAGTACAAGAGGCGGAAAACTTGCCAGAGGTTGAGTTTCTTTCAGAAAGACTGTGATGAGAGCAACACTCTGCAATGGACCTGATACATGACGATGACACACTGTTTCTAGTTCTAGTTGATTGTGACTGATAAAATAGATTACCTACTTATGCAGAAATAAACCTCCAATCTCTCCATCTTTCTATAAGTTTCTACCAGTCAATACATGTTTGTTTGTTATACTTAGACCTGCAGACATAAACTGGTAGTTGGTTTATGCGTGGGCTAGTGAAATACTTTTTGTAATAATTTTACATTTGTATAGCCAACATATTGTGACTGACTACTTCTATCAATGACTAGCTGCATTTCTGGTGGCCACTGTTGATTTCTGCGCCTCTAGCAACTACTATATTCATTTATAGCATGCGCATATTTCTGGATTGTGCCGGGACAATTGTTTGTTCACCAGGTTTCACATGGGACAGTGAGGGACATATCATTTGGTTTTTACTGGCACAGGAATAGAGCAAGTACAGGGTGACCCAATTGCAGTGAAGTTGAAACCTCGACTAAGACTAAGACATAAACCTCCAAATTTTACTTTTTTTAAAATAAGTTTTTGCCAGTCAGTATATGTTAATTTATTTGTGATACTTACATCTGCAGAGATTAGCTGTTCCTTGCTCTGCACACACCCCCAGGAAGCTATTCCAATTGTTATCACTCTTCCCTCTGATGTCAAACCAAAATCCCTGACTGCTTCCCCTACATGCTTCATGACTCCTGCGTTGGTTCCACCAGTCACAATCCAGGCACCTGTCAAATCAAGTCAGGGTGTTGCTCATCAGTTACAGTTATCACTTTTGTGTGTGTGTTAACCTGTTCAGCCTTACCTTACGTTTGACTCTCATGACCTGTACTGAGAGTGACCTCACAATATTATCACCTTAAACAAAATAACACATCATTATCATCTCTTAGACACAGATATTCTCAAACATTAATGCAAAATTACAAGATGTGAGATGAGTTGTATAAGAAACGCAGAGGGAAAAAAACAAGAAGAGACAAGATTCACCAACAGAGAACAAAGAAAAATAGTAGGCACAATACCAATATATGATTTTGAAGAAAACAAAAGAACCAAATAACCAAATGGTTTGGTCATCTAGTCAGAATAAGATAAAATCAGCCAGCAGATAGAGCGTACTACATTAAAACTACAAGCTATAAGTCAAGAGGCCAACCAAGAAAGAAATGGGTTGAGGGAGTTAAAAAGACACTACAGAAATGCAGTATGACATTATTGTTAGCTTTCTAGCCAGCAAAAGATAGGAACTACCTCTAACTCCACTCTTTAAAGCTTTATAGAATAAGCAGTAGGATAAAGGAAGCAGACAGACGTTCTCACCTGTTCACATAGGCATTCATACCTGTAAACATTGACAGTTTCCTGTACTCATGGACATTATCACCTTACAATATTATCCCTTAGACATAGACAAGGACGAAGACAATCTCACCCGACCATAGAATGACATTCTTACCTGAACAGAGACCAACACAATGATATTCTCACCTATGCACAATCTCCAATCTCTCCTGTTTGCATGGGCATTTTCACCTGTATATATTGACATTCTCATCTGTTTATAATAACATCCTCATTTATACACAAAGGTATTTTCACCTGTATATATTGACATTCTCATCTGTTTATAATAACATCCTCATTTATACACAAAGGTATTTTCACCTGTACACTTCCACTGTTCAGAAGACATTCTAACTATAAAAAATGACATCCCCACCTGTACACAATGACATTCTTATTGTACACAATGACATTCCCATCTGTACACAAAGATTTTCTCATCTGTTAACAATGAAATTTTCATTTTAAACAATGTAACTCCCACTTCTACACAAGGACATTAAAACTGTACACAATGACATCCCCACTGCACACAATGAAATTCCCACAATAATATCCTTATCGTATACAGTGACACTCTAATCTGTACACTTCTGTTGTGTGCTAACTTAGATATACAGCAACCAGCACACGGCCTAGTGTCTAAGGGTATACAACGTGATGTCCACCATATAAGCACATTTATTGTTACGATCACAGAGGTTTTTCACCAGCCCTCACACACACAACACACAACAGTGCAAGCGAAGTGATGTAGACACCTGACCTGGCTAACATGTAACAAATAGCCCTCCCTTCGCTCACTTTTCAGGTATAGCGTCGCTCTCCCGGACAGCTTGACTAGCCGCCACTACACCTGAGCCGACCGCTACAGTTCTAGGTCTACAGCGACTCGCAACTCCCGGACAGCTTGACTAGCCGCCACTACACTTGAGCCGACCGCTACAGTTCTAGGTCTACAGCGTCTCGCAACTCCCGGCTCACTGTACAGATAAGCAGGAAATCTCTGCTTATCAACTAGACTTCTGTTGCTCTATACAAAGAACTCAACGGATGACGGGAAATGCCAGAGTACTTGTTCTCCAGCATGTGCACACAGCACATCAGCCGCCAAGTCGAAGGAACTCCAGTGACCGGCACGACTCCTGGCTCTGAGTCTCCTTCAGTATACAGCTATCGCCGGCATCTCTGCTTTCCTGTTTCACTAGTGATCATCCCACTTACCTGCATCGTCATCCAAAAACAGCGCCTTTTGAGCAGCCCAGCTTACTTGGTCTAACTTGCCAACTGGACTCTCCTTCCTTCGGCTGGATTCTCGAAACCGTCCCTCTACTCAACTGTTCGAGTTCTCAACTGCCATTGCTCAACAGTTCACTCAACTCTAGTATATACCCTTGCCTGCCCCATTTGAGCTGCACACGAGAGGCACGTTGTCTCACATACCATTCTTCTTTCGTGCACCAGCGGCTATCTCGCCCAAGTCATGATAGTTAGCTCACACTGGCTAATACTTTGTGAATCGACCGGTCCATCCCATGCTTAAGTCAACACAGTGCCAAATATTGACACAGGTCACAGGAAATTCCCAGGGACTCCAGAAAACACTTTTCATACCATATTATCCACCTACAACTCACCTGAATCAGCACCCAACAACTATGACATTCTCACCTGCATGCAATGACATCCTCAATTGTATACCTCTGGACATGCTCGACTGCACACAATAAAATTCCCACCTGTACACATGGACATTCTCACATGTACAACAGACACTGTCACTTGTACACAGACCAAAGCTCGGAAATTCTCACCTGTACACAAACACAGTGAACATTTTCATTCTCTCCCAGAAATAGGACAGTCTTATCGGTAAACACAACATTCTCACCTGTACACACAACATTCTCACCTGTACACAGGAAATTATCCCTGTACACCTTTTTATTCAGTTCACTGGATCACTGGTAAACAAATGTATCCAGGACGCTCTTACTTGCATACTGGGAATTCTCACCTGTACACAAATACATGGGCATTCTCAGCTGTACACAGACTAAAACAATGGACATTCTCACCTGTATTAAGACTAATACAATAGACATTCTCACCTGTATTAAGACTAATACAATAGACATTCTCACCTGTATTAAGACTAATACAATAGACATTCTCACCTGTATTAAGACTAATACAATAGACAATCTCACCTGTATTAAGACTAATACAGTAGACATTCTTACCTGTACACAGACTAATACAATAGACATTCTCACCTGTACACAGACTAATACAATAGACATTCTCACTTGTACACAGACTAATACAATGGACATTCTCACCTGTACTAAGACTAATACAATGGACATTCTCACCTGTACACAGACTAAAACAATGGACATTCTCACCTGTACTAAGAGCAGCCTTCATAAGGCCCCTGCGGAACACCTCCCTGAGCCTGGCTTTCATGGTGAAGTTCTTGGCTCCACCTGTCACTGAGATGAGCAGGTTAGGCTTCTCCATGGCCCAGGCTGACGTAAGAAGATCCAACATAGTCTCCATCTTGGTATCCACATCCACACGTACGTACTGGAACAATGATTATTATGAACTAGAGTCTTTGGGAGTGACTGAACAGTGCGGAGACACAGATAGATCATTACTGGGAGTGACTGAACAGTGCGGAGACACAGATAGATCATTACTGGGAGTGACTGAACAGTGCGGAGACACAGATAGATCATTACTGGGAGTGACTGAACAGTGCGGAGACACAGATAGATCATTACTGGGAGTGACTGAACAGTGCGGAGACACAGATAGATCATTACTGGGAGTGACTGAACAGTGCGGAGACACAGATAGATCATTACTGGGAGTGACTGAACAGTGCGGAGACACAGATAGATCATTACTGGGAGTGACTGAACAGTGCGGAGACACAGATAGATCATTACTGGGAGTGACTGAACAGTGCGGAGACACAGATAGATCATTACTGGGAGTGACTGAACAGTGCGGAGACACAGATAGATCATTACTGGGAGTGACTGAACAGTGCGGAGACACAGATAGATCATTACTGGGAGTGACTGAACAGTGCGGAGACACAGATAGATCATTACTGGGAGTGACTGAACAGTGCGGAGACACAGATAGATCATTACTGGGAGTGACTGAACAGTGCGGAGACACAGATAGATCATTACTGGGAGTGACTGAACAGTGCGGAGACACAGATAGATCATTACTGGGAGTGACTGAACAGTGCGGAGACACAGATAGATCATTACTGGGAGTGACTGAACAGTGCGGAGACACAGATAGATCATTACTGGGAGTGACTGAACAGTGCGGAGACACAGATAGATCATTACTGGGAGTGACTGAACAGTGCGGAGACACAGATAGATCATTACTGGGCGTGACTGAACAGTGCGGAGACACAGATAGATCATTACTGGGAGTGACTGAACAGTGCGGAGACACAGATAGATCATTACTGGGAGTGACTGAACAGTGCGGAGACACAGATAGATCATTACTGGGAGTGACTGAACAGTGCGGAGACACAGATAGATCATTACTGGGAGTGACTGAACAGTGCGGAGACACAGATAGATCATTACTGGGAGTGACTGAACAGTGCGGAGACACAGATAGATCATTACTGGGAGTGACTGAACAGTGCGGAGACACAGATAGATCATTACTGGGAGTGACTGAACAGTGCGGAGACACAGATAGATCATTACTGGGAGTGTGACTGAACAGTGCGGAGACACAGATAGATCATTACTGGGAGTGACTGAACAGTGCGGAGACACAGATAGATCATTACTGGGAGTGACTGAACAGTGCGGAGACACAGATAGATCATTACTGGGAGTGACTGAACAGTGCGGAGACACAGATAGATCATTACTGGGAGTGACTGAACAGTGCGGAGACACAGATAGATCATTACTGGGAGTGACTGAACAGTGCGGAGACACAGATAGATCATTACTGGGAGTGACTGAACAGTGCGGAGACACAGATAGATCATTACTGGGAGTGACTGAACAGTGCGGAGACACAGATAGATCATTACTGGGAGTGACTGAACAGTGCGGAGACACAGATAGATCATTACTGGGAGTGACTGAACAGTGCGGAGACACAGATAGATCATTACTGGGAGTGACTGAACAGTGCGGAGACACAGATAGATCATTACTGGGAGTGACTGAACAGTGCGGAGACACAGATAGATCATTACTGGGAGTGACTGAACAGTGCGGAGACACAGATATATCATTACTGGGAGTGACTGAACAGTGCGGAGACACAGATAGATCATTACTGGGAGTGACTGAACAGTGCGGAGACACAGATAGATCATTACTGGGAGTGACTGAACAGTGCGGAGACACAGATAGATCATTACTGGGAGTGACTGAAACAGTGCGGAGACACAGATAGATCATTACTGGGAGTGACTCTGAACAGTGCGGAGACACAGATAGATCATTACTGGGAGTGACTGAACAGTGCGGAGACACAGATAGATCATTACTGGGAGTGACTGAACAGTGCGGAGACACAGATAGATCATTACTGGGAGTGACTGAACAGTGCGGAGACACAGATAGATCATTACTGGGAGTGACTGAACAGTGGCGGAGACACAGATAGATCATTACTGGGAGTGACTGAACAGTGCGGAGACACAGATAGATCATTACTGGGAGTGACTGAACAGTGCGGAGACACAGATAGATCATTACTGGGAGTGACTGAACAGTGCGGAGACACAGATAGATCATTACTGGGAGTGACTGAACAGTGCGGAGACACAGATAGATCATTACTGGGAGTGACTGAACAGTGCGGAGACACAGATAGATCATTACTGGGAGTGACTGAACAGTGCGGAGACACAGATAGATCATTACTGGGAGTGACTGAACAGTGCGGAGACACAGATAGATCATTACTGGGAGTGACTGAACAGTGCGGAGACACAGATAGATCATTACTGGGAGTGACTGAACAGTGCGGAGACACAGATAGATCATTACTGGGAGTGACTGAACAGTGCGGAGACACAGATAGATCATTACTGGGAGTGACTGAACAGTGCGGAGACACAGATAGATCATTACTGGGAGTGACTGAACAGTGCGGAGACACAGATAGATCATTACTGGGAGTGACTGAACAGTGCGGAGACACAGATAGATCATTACTGGGAGTGACTGAACAGTGCGGAGACACAGATAGATCATTACTGGGAGTGACTGAACAGTGCGGAGACACAGATAGATCATTACTGGGAGTGACTGAACAGTGCGGAGACACAGATAGATCATTACTGGGAAGTGACTGAACAGTGCGGAGACACAGATAGATCATTACTGGGAGTGACTGAACAGTGCGGAGACACAGATAGATCATTACTGGGAGTGACTGAACAGTGCGGAGACACAGATAGATCATTACTGGGAGTGACTGAACAGTGCGGAGACACAGATAGATCATTACTGGGAGTGACTGAACAGTGCGGAGACACAGATAGATCATTACTGGGAGTGACTGAACAGTGCGGAGACACAGATAGATCATTACTGGGAGTGACTGAACAGTGCGGAGACACAGATAGATCATTACTGGGAGTGACTGAACAGTGCGGAGACACAGATAGATCATTACTGGGAGTGACTGAACAGTGCGGAGACACAGATAGATCATTACTGGGAGGTGACTGAACAGTGCGGAGACACAGATAGATCATTACTGGGAGTGACTGAACAGTGCGGAGACACAGATAGATCATTACTGGGAGTGAACTGAACAGTGCGGAGACACAGATAGATCATTACTGGGAGTGACTGAACAGTGCGGAGACACAGATAGATCATTACGGGAGTGACTGAACAGTGCGGAGACACAGATAGATCATTACTGGGAGTGACTGAACAGTGCGGAGACACAGATAGATCATTACTGGGAGTGACTGAACAGTGCGGAGACACAGATAGATCATTACTGGGAGGTGACTGAACAGTGCGGAGACACAGATAGATCATTACTGGGAGTGACTGAAACAGTGCGGAGACACAGATAGATCATTACTGGGAGTGACTGAACAGTGCGGAGACACAGATAGATCATTACTGGGAGTGACTGAACAGTGCGGAGACACAGATAGATCATTACTGGGAGTGACTGAACAGTGCGGAGACACAGATAGATCATTACTGGGAGTGACTGAAAACAGTGAGACACAGATAGATCATTACTGGGAGTGACACAGACACAGATAGATCATTACTGGGAGTGACTGAACAGTGCGGAGACACAGATAGATCATTACTGGGAGTGACTGAACAGTGCGGAGACACAGATAGATCATTACTGGGAGTGACTGAACAGTGCGGGAGACACAGATAGATCCATTACTGGGAGTGACTGAACAGTGCGGAGACACAGATAGAATCATCTCGGGAGGGACTGGGAGTGACTGAAAGATCAACTGGGAGTGCGAACAGTGCGAGACACAGATAGATCATTACTGGGAGTGACCTGCAGGAGAACAGTGCAGAGACACAGATTAGATCATTACTGGGAGTGACTGAACAGTGGCGGAGACACAGATAGATCATTACTGGGAGTGACTGAACAGTGCGGAGACACAGATAGATCATTACTGGGAGTGACTGAACAGTGCGGAGACACAGATAGATCATTACGGACAAAGGATAATGGCGCTGCGAGGAGTTACAAGGCCATCTGGCTGGTGCTCAACAAACAGGGAAAAGGCGAGATAGATATACAATCAGACAGTTACTTGTGCCGTCAGAACTGGAACTTTTTGTTTGCTACTGAATATGGGGACGGAGTGCTTATGGGGGTGTCCCAAGTGCTGTGACGTTGATTCTTAATTTAACATTCAGGAAGACTAGGGCTCATCAGTTACAACAGCTGGCTAAATGGTTAAGAATGCTGGGCTCCCATATGGGAGAAAGGTTCGAATCCTCTGTAAATTCAAGGATTTTTTTCTGTCAGGGGCAAAAATAAGATTCTAATCTGCAGTCTCTGGCGACAGCACTAGCCATGTAGCCATGAATCTACTAATAAGTGCTCTGTTCTTTTTCTAACTCAAGTCTGAGTCCGAAATAGTTCAGCGCAGAGCACGGGCTCCGTAGCACCAGCGAAGATCCTGAAATACTTTTGGGTAGTTATTTAACTTCAAATTTTGCCCGGGGTGGCACCGTTAGGCTACTATTTTCGATTTCCAACTGTCAAGGAATTTTTTACGTGCACAAAAATACACATGGGCGTCCAATCTTACTACCCAGAGACCAGAGGAAAATTACTAGAAGTCCATGTGAAAAATACCAGCCTTCACCGGGGCTTGAACCTGGGACCTACAGCACTCGAGGTGGATGCCATGTCTCGAGACCACTCAGACCCTCCATGAAAATTTTAACATGACTCACCTTTCCAACTTTGTCTCCAAATCCAACAAATTCAATCTCCCCAAATGCGTTTGTCGGAAATGTTTTGGTGTGCAGTTGGTACTCCCAGGTGACTCCCGGGATGGACAACTCCTTGGCATCCTTAGCATGCATGTTCCGGGGATAACCACAGCCACACAGTTTCTCATCTTCAGATCTGGGGATAAGCAATATGCTTGACTAATCATCCAACCATTTAAACAATCAACCGATAGGCCATTTAGTAATCTAACCAATCAACCATGCAATCTAAAATCAATGAACCGTTTAATCAACCAACCTATGAACAGTTTAACTATCCGATCAATTATCTTTTTAATCATTCAACTGATCAACCCTGTAATTAACAAACCAATCAACTGTATAATTAACCAGTCTATCAACAATTTAACCATCCATTCAATCAACCATTAAGTAAATCAACCAGCCAATCAACTATTTAATCATCCTACCAATCAACCATGTATCAACTAAATCAACAAACCAATCAACCATTTAATCAATCAACAATATAATCAATAAATCAATCAAACATTTAATGAACCATTTTATCATCTAACAAATCAACTATTTGAACAACCAACCAATGATCATTTAATCATCCAACCAATCATCATTTAATCAACCAATCAATAAACCATTTAATCATCCAACCATTTAATCATACAACCAATCAACCATTTTAATCAGCCATTTAATTACCCAATGATTCAACAATTTAATCATCCAACCAATCAACCATTTAATCATCCAACCAATCAACCACTGGATCAGCCATTTAATCAAACAATCAATCAACTATTTAATCATCCAACCAATCAACCATTTAATCATCCAACCAATCAACCACTGGATCAGCCATTTAATCAAACAATCAATCAACTATTTAATCATCCAACCAATCAACCATTTAATCATCCAACCAATCAACCATTGGATCAGCCATTTAATCAAACAATCAATCAACTATTTAATCATCCAACCAATCAACCATTTAATCATCCAACCAATCAACCACTGGATCAGCCATTTAATCAAACAATCAATCAACTATTTATAATCATCGGGGAATGCCATGATCTGCCTGCCTTTCCTTGAGGGCTGAAAATCTAATAGAGCTGCCTCAAGGGAGACGAATGCCCGGGAGGCCACACCTGTAAAAGTCAAAGAGGAACCACACAATGAGGCACCATCTCGGACAATCAACCAATCAACCATTTAATCATCCAACCAATCAACCATTGGATCAGCCATTTAATCAACCAGTCAATCAATCCTTTAATCAACCAACCAATCCCTATTCAATCATCCAACCAATCAACAATTTAAAAAACCATTTTATCAACTAACCAGTCAATCATTTAATCATCCAACCAAACAACCATTTAATCATCCAAGCTATCAACCATTTAATCCACCAACCAATCAACAATGAGTTTTTTTGAGTTGATTCAAGAACCAACATCACAGCACTCAGGGCATTCCCATAAGCACTCCATCCCCATCTTCAGCAGCTAGTGCAGAGTTCTGATACTTATGGTGCCAGTAGCATTCTGATTAAACATCCGTCTTGCCTTCCTCTGAGCCTCGAACATCTGCCAGAAACCCTAATCACTCCCCACTGCATCAATCTTACCAGACTGTGGTGATCCATCTGTTCCTCCGAACTGTACATGCTCTCCCACAAGGCACTAACCACATCTGCCTTATCATGAAATCAGTATTCCACCAAGTTGTGCAGAGCTAGCCAGTCTGTAAGCCTGTTCATTTCCCAACACACCGGCGTCTCCAAGTAAACAAATCAAGGCAATACTCCTCACCTATGTTTTCGGCAGTGAAACATGCCACTCAGCACGAAGCATGCCGGTCCTGACTTTCCTCAGTTACAATCACGATGTGTGTGTCCTGTTCTCTAACCAGCGGAAAGCTGCAGTGAACACCTCTACCTCCATTCTTAAGCTGGATGTTGTAATATCATATGCTAGGTTCTCCTGCACCAAACGTCGACCATTAACTTTTGCTAAGAAGCCCCAAGCACTTCTTTTGCCTCTTGACACTGAATTGTCTGTGTAAAAAATCAAATCCTCTGAGCGAGCATGATCTTAAATTAATTGCTGAATTTCCATCTCCGTGGCACCTGCTGGCCAGTCTCTGCATTCCCGGCTCAGTGTGATTATGACTCTACACAAGTCTGATTGTTCGGGTGGCACTTTGACCCACTCCCTCTTCTCGCCTAATATTCTCAAGGATGCAAACCTGTCTGACTGTGTCTTCTGCCTGAGCCATCCATGACCTCCCTCCTATCAGCCGCTGACCCTTAACTGCGCCCAGAGCTTCATGCAAAGAGTGGACTGTGTCTGCAGCTACCCTAAGATATGACTCTGCCTGCAGCACCTTGTGCCTACCTGCAACAGTCTGCAAACCAGGGATGTATCGCATACACACCACTGAGATGTATTTGGTACAACCCAGAATGACCTACATAGCTGCGTTCTGTATGCGCTCTAGTTTGAGACGGTAAGCAGTTCCAAGCCATAATCAACCACTGACAGGATCAGGTGCTGATATAGTGTGAAAAGCATTCTCTGCTCTTTGTCAGTTGCAGCCATAGTCTTAAGTGCACTAAGTCCTTTTTGGCATCTCGTCACAACACTCTCCACATGGTCCTTAAAGAACAGGCTCCTATCAAATGTAATTCCCAGATACTTCAGTTTGCTCTCTCTGTTGACGTCTCTACCATCTATCGTGAGACTTGGGACATTAGCTTTAATGATTCTGTTGTCCAGAGAACAAGACAAAACAGATGACTTTTCCAGGTGGACGACAGCCCTAATTTCTGTACACCACTCAGTCACTGTGTCCACTGTCGCTTGTAGCTCCCGGGCTGTTTGTTCCCTCTCTTCCCAGTGCCTACATGCAAGTATATCATCTGCAAAAGTCTGTATCCTTCCAACTTCAATCAACCATTTAATCATCCAACCATTCACCATTTCATTAACCAACAAATTATCTATTTAATCAAACAAACAATCAATCATTTAGTCAATTAACCAATCAAATTGTGTATCAACCAACCAAGCAATCAAACAGAAAATCAATATTTTTATCAAACCAACCAAGCAATCAATCCAACAGAAAAATCAACCATTTTATCAACCAACCAAGCAATCAAATAGAAAAATCAACCATTTTACCAACCTAACCAAGCAATTAATCAAACAGAAAAATCAACCATTTTACCAACCAACCAAGCAATCAATAAATCAAACAGAAAATCAACCATTTAATCAACCAACAAATGAGTCAATCAATTAATGATCCACACAAAAACAAAAAAAAAACAACCATCCGACAAATCGTATTTGTTACACTTTATTTTCAAATGAACAAGTGAAAATTGTCCAACCTTGACTAAGGAGATGCCCTAGATCATGGTGATAAAGTTTGGTTCACTATGAGATTTATGGTGGTTGCTAAGCTCAGAGTAACAAAATGCCAGCACTTACACTGTCAAATCCTGACTGGTCTCTTCAATAAAACACATACATTCTCTCCGCCTGATCTTCTTGTGCATGAAATTAAGCTCCCGGCTCTAAAACAAAGTAAATGAGACAATATATTGTTACTTAAACATTTTCAGTTATTATTTTAACTCATATTCCAAGGAGTTAAGAAATTTAATTCTCGCAAGCTATATACAGCCAGTTTAAACATATGGCTGTGATTATCTGTTGGTCTGTTTAAACCAGTACAGATAACTCTCCCTTTATATAAAATGCAGTTTTATATATATATATACTTCATCAAGCAAACATTAAATACCTAAACCAGGTACATAACTATAAATTAAACACCCAAACCAGGTACATAACTATAAATTAAACACCCAAACCAGGTACATAACTATAAATTAAACACCCAAAACCAGGTACATACCTATAAATTAAACACCCAAACCAGGTACATACCTATACATTAAATACCCAAACCAGATACATACCTATACATTAAATACCCAAACCAGGTACATACCTATAAATTAAACACCTAAACCAGGTACATACCTATACATTAAATACCCAAACCAGGTACATACCTATAAATTAAACACCTAAACCAGGCACATACCTATACATTAAATACCCAAACCAGGTACATACCTATAAATTAAACACCCAAACCAGATACATACCTATAAATTAAACACCCAAACCAGGTACATACCTATACATTAAAACAAACCAAACATACCAGGTACCATACCTATAAATTAAACATTAATACCCAAACCAGATACATACCTATACATTAAATACCCAAACCAGATACATACCTATACATTAAATACCCAAACCAGATACATACCTATACATTAAATACCTAAACCAGATACATACCTATACATTAAATACCTAAACCAGATACATACACATACCCCAAACCAGGTACATACCCTATACATTAAATACCCAAAACCAGGACATACTATACATTAAATACCCAAAACCAGATACATACCTATACATTAAATACACAAACCAGGTACAACCCTAAAACCAGGTACATACCTATAAATTAAACACCCAAACCAGGTACATACCTATAAATTAAACACCCAAACCAGGTACATAACTATAAATTAAACACCCAAAACCAGGTACATACCTATAAATTAAATACCCAAACCAGGTACATACCTATACATTAAATACCCAAACCAGGTACATACCTATACATTAAATACCCAAACCAGGTACATACCTATACATTAAATACCCAAACCAGGTACATACCTATAAATTAAACACCCAAACCAGGTACATACCTATAAATTAAACACCCAAACCAGGTACATACCTATAAATTAAACACCCAAACCAGGTACATACCTATAAATTAAACACCCAAACCAGGTACATACCTATAAATTAAACCTATAATTAAACACCTTAAACCAGGGTACATACCTATACATTAAATTACCCAAACCAGGTATCATACCTATAAATTAAACATCTGATCAAGGTGGATACCTATAAAATTACACACCAGGTACATAACTATAAATTAAACATCTGATCCAGGTGGATACCTATAAATTACCCAACCCAGATACATACCTATAAATTAAATATCCGGACCTGATACATACCTATAAATTAAATACCCAAAAAAAAGTACATACCTATAAATTAAATACCTGAACCAGGTAAATACCTACAAATTAAATATCTGAACTGAGTACATAACTATAAATTAAATAAATAAACCAATATACTGAATATTCAAAACCGGGTATATACCTATAAATTAAATACCTGAACCAGGTACATACTTACAAATTAGATATCTGAACCATGTATAAACCTATAAATTAACATCTGAACCAGGTATTGGTTAGTTGCGTATCCTTTACAGGACGTTGCAGAACCAACCCTAGCAGCCCCTGGCTGTTGTGTGGTTTCTCTAGGCAAATTTACGTCCAGTAGTTTGCCATTGCTTTCTGACGGTCGGCTTTCTTGATACCACTGTCGAAACCAACACAAGGTGCATGGCCCTCAGCTGGGATCGAACCCGGCATCCCGGCATTACGAAGCGTTCGCATCGACTTAGTCACAGAGCCGACGAACCAGGTACACAGCTATAAATTATAGTTCAGACCCAGCTAAATGCTTATAAATTAAATATATGAACCAGATACATACCTGTACATTAAATATCGGAACCAGCTTTACAAAATGCATGGTTTAATATTCTGGTTTGGTGATCTAGTATAACAAACGAAAAAATCATTCTCAAATAGACGTCCTCCTCTTGTTTAGAAGTCAGCCAGAATCTACAAGGGCTGATCAATGCACACAAATATATGATGTAGACCATATACTCACTCTGCCTCCAGGCATGGAAAAGATTACTTCACATTGTTTTAAACTTTGAAAACTTCATTTTATGATGTCCTTAAAAAGATTACGTTACATTTTATTAAACTTTAAAAACTTCATTTAATGATGTCCTTAAAAAGATTACATCATACTGTATTTTTTAAATGTCACTTTATGGTGTCAAAATAAATAATAATTCACATCGTATTTACAATTTTTAAAAAGTCACTTTACTGATGTCAAAACTTACTACACACAGTTTTAAACTTTAAACGTTTCACTTTATAATGTCCACACACCAAAAAAAAACTTCAAATTTTTTTTTACAACTTTCAAACTCCACTTAACATGTCACAATTTGTGGCAGGTAGCCTCGCTCAAAATGCAAAAAAAAATATGTTGGTTGCAGTCAGTGTACAATCAGTTGCCAGGAACTAAAAACAAAAAAGTCTGATTTATGTGATTCAAGACTGCTTTTTACCCCATTAAAAAGTGTTAGTAGCTCCCCAGTTTCCACCTCTATACCATTTTTGGGGGAAACTCTTTGTTTGCCGCTGAAGATGGGGACAGAACACTTATGGGAGTGCCATGATGTCGGTTCCTAATTTAACATTCATTCACCTCCATACCATATGCGTCTCAAGACCAGGAGAGTTCCAGTTCTGTACATGAACTCAGATGGCAGCACTGGCAACCATTCACTATCCTTTTGTGCCATTATATGTCACATAGGGCTGGCAGTCTATTTCTCCATTCTGTTCTATCCTGTGAAATTACTTGTATATCATGGATGAAATCCAGTCCAGCACCTTTGGCCTCTCTCATTAACGTTCATCTTATGGTTTCTCTTGGACTACTTCATTTCCTCAGTCCTTCCATTTCCACTGCCTGTTTGGTCATTCTCTTTTCTACTCTTCTCAGAATGCTTCCAATATGGCACCATCCTCTCTTATAACTGTTGATACTAGTGGCTGTCCAGATATTCCTCTTATTTTTTCACTCCTTTGAATTCGTCTCATTTTATGTGACATCTATACATACTATAAGTATTCTAATGTAGATATATTTTCTAATTTTAAATGTTTACATTAGGTGTGTTTTATAATTTTGAAGTTTGCCAAGGTACTTACTATACGGCCTACTTCTTCTTCTTTGTTGACCGGCTGTAAGCTCCGGTCCTGGTTGTTCATCCATTCCGACTTTGGATTTGTGCCAGGGCTTGAGTTTTGTGTGTATATTCGTTTTACTAACTTATTTGTGTGCAGCTGGTTATTCCTTGCCACTCAGGCAAATGTACTCTGATTTCATAGGAAGTCCCTAAACAGTCAACTCCTACGACATGCTTTTTGGGCAGGCAGTGGGTATATTCTTGTTTTCCTCACATTGGGGCCCTGGAAATACACAGGGAATGTGGCCTACTATTTAGGATATCCGATTTTTAAAATAAGGTGTGGCCTACTCTAAATGATTTTAGTTGATGCGATCTTCTAATAGTAATGGGAAGCTTGAGAAAAGCTGGCACGGTCGGGAAATGCAAATCCATGTCTCAAGTTCTAAACTTTGTATGCAGGAAAGAAATGCTTCTGCAAATCATTAAAAGACTTGTCTTCTTAAAGCATATATTTACTGTCTTAAAATCAAATCAAACAGTCCGATCATTGTTTAAAAAAAGTACCTTTACTAAATTATGAATATATTTTGTGTAAATTACAAATGCGATCCAGAAGATTCAACCACAAAGTAAATGATAAAAGAATGCAAATTTTTATATTCTTATGCTTACTTCATTTTTATATAAGAGATATAAGAAGATAAATCCACACACAAAAAAAGTACACACGTCAAAGATAAAACAATTCAGATATGCACACAGATAAACTGACTTCCAAACATTGGTAACATGCTATCCCAACATCCCTTGCCCAAAATGAAAGTTACATGCATCAGACAATCATGAATTACATCAAGAATGAAAGCGCAATTTGCATCACCAAACAAATTATAAATGCAGGGCTAGAGAGCAAAGCTGCCCACACAGGAATTAAAAACCTGGCAATCAATATGTAAGGTTTGTTAAGAAAAAAACAAAAGCAAAATCAACACACTGATCCAAAATCTATCCATATGGATACAAATGGCAATTCCATTTCAATCAATATGCGGCATTTTGAGTTAGAAAAAAGTTCAAAGTCATTAACTAAACACTGGCTATTTGTTTCTGATAATGGTGGCTGGATTGTGTTACCTATAACCACAGACATAAATTATCATAGTGAGTGGGCAGGTCAGCTGTTGTGTAAATCACTGCTTAATGAATCTAGTACTTTAAGATGTTCTTCTTCCTTATTTCTTTCCTTTTCTTCTGACTTATCCTTGTGGTTTACAGCTAAACTGCAGTATCTGTACCTTTCTGTCCATAATATTTCCTCCTGGAAAACCCTAAGTCGATTTTACAACATGCTTGCTGCTTGTTAGAGAGGCACTGGGTTTTTATATCTGTCCAGTGCCTTCTCTCTCTGTCACCCTCTGCTTCTTTTCTCCTAGTTTTTAAAAGGAGTAGAAAATTATAGGAAAGAGAAAAAGTTGGTAAGAAACAACAAATAGTTTAACATTATGCATACCAGTTGTCTTCATCTCATGACATGACCAAAGAATGTAGATTGCCTCCATTTTGGTGAGTCCATTTCTTTCAAGGGATCTTCATTACTCTTTTTATAAGCTTTTATTCAGTTCACTTTTGTTTGTTTGTCTGGCACATTTTTTTCTTTTTAATTTTTATCCATTTAGGATGTGCTCATCATTTGTCTATAAAACAATATCTCCACACTTCAAAATAATTTTCCACTGACTGGCCAACAGTACAGGATTCATTTATTATTCTGTTATTTTAACCATTAAATCCCAGTTGTTACTTTATCTTGTTCTTTCCCACCAAGGTATTTTTTAGCCCTATCCGAATCTGACTTCTCTGAGTGGGTTCTGGGACCCCTTTTAGGTGGGTTTTGGTGGAAAGGGGGGTGGGGGTGGGTAGACACTCTCCTTTTAAGAAACAAAGCATGTAGTAAAAGGTGACTAAGGATTTGCAGAAATCAGATCTGTTGGACAGAAAAGAACATATACCACAGCCTAACTGTAAGCCATAAAACAAACTACCAAACACACTTTTACAAGTGAACAGAGCAGAAGAAGAATATGACTTTTGCTCTGAAGAACACATATTTGTGAAAGAAATGTTGGAGCAACAACTCTAAGAGAGTGAATGAGTAAAACTATGACACAAGAGAGGCGGACTGCACTAAAGAAAACATCCACATAAATTTCACTTACTGAGAGGTCAAAGTTCAAATATCCTCCCGGATCTTCAACTTGTGGTGCCTTTTCTTCATAGTGAAGGCTGTGTCGGGCCACAGCAGTGGATGCCTTCCTTGGCATGTTCTCTGTCGGAGACACCCTAGCCATTGTGTGTTGATGAATTTCTGAATGGATTTCTCCAAAGTTAACATCACTGTGGAGAAGAAATATGGCCGACTAATGTGTAATTAGCAAAGAAATTAGAAACTTATATACAACTTTAAGACAGAAGTAATCAGTGTTATTCACTCTTGTAAGAAGAAGAAAGGAAATGAACTTTGCGACGACTGGAAAGATCAATGGTAACGGTAGAAGAGGCAGAAGCTGACAAAGTAAAACCTGAAGCTAAGGCATAGAGCAGTGATCTCCAACTGAAGGGGTGCGAGGAAGTTTCAGGGTAGAGGGAGGGGGGCATCAAACATTTTTGAAATTCAGTGCATTTGTATTTGCTATAATCCATTACATTTTTTTCCAGTTCAATTATAAATCTTTGTTTTAAAAACTATATATAAAAAACAAAACGGCAAGGACATTTTATTTCATTTTGTTTTCATAACCATATTCTGATCAAAATGTAACTCCATATTGTCCATCTGTCTTGTTGCAGAATCTATTGTCCTTCTCTTTTTAATCACATTTTGTTATTTTGCCATATACTGAAGGGGGCATAGAGGTCTTGCTGTGTACTCAAGGCGGGTGTGGGAGGAGGGGGGGTGTCTTGCCATATACTGAAGGGGGCATAGAGGTCTTGCTGTGTACTCACTCAGGGAGGATGTGGGGGGGGGGGGGGCGTCTTGCCATATACTAAAGGGGGGGGGGGCATAGGATCTTGCTATTGCAGTATACTCCAGGGAGGGAGAAGGCGTAACCTGAAAACGATTATAGACCACTAGAAGAGACAAATATCATCAGTGGAACTGATTCAAAATACCAAAGACCAAGATCTGTGAAGAAACATGACAGCCTACACCACTGGGCAGGGCACATGAAGATGATAACAATTTTAAATGCCTTACTAAAATGATTTGACCTTGTGGGTACAAGTCTTGGGTTGAAGTTTGCATCAGTTCAATGTTTTTTTTCAGAAATATATGACCTTGCCTCCCAAGCAAACGCAGCCTACAACGGGTAGCAGGAAATGTCTTGGGATGTAAAGGTAACAGGCGTAATGTTGAACATGCCATTTCCCCCCCCCCCCCCCCCATGTGAGTTCCAGGGCCTTATTTTTGGAGGGAAAAAGAGTATACCTCCTTCTCTTTTCCCCATCGAAACAGACATTTTATCCTAGCAGATGACTTAACTCTACCAAACTGCTGGCCCACTATTACGAGAATTTCCTAACCTGCCGCTAAACTGCTGTCCCTCAATGTCGGGAATTAGCGTTTATGAGAAAACAATGCGTCACAAACTAAAAATAACTAGCCATTCATAATCAGATCTCGTGGATAGTCTTCCTAGATGTCCGCCCACGTGTGTTTGGATTAAAACTTTTGTTGACTGACGTGAAAAAAATATGAAAATTGACAATAAAATGAGCGGCTGATGAACCAAACACTTCGACAGGAAAGTGAAGTAGGTCTAGGCTTTTCACAGTCCAACAGGTGATCAAAACTTTGGTTGATTCTGACTCTGCAGAGTCATCATTTCATAAAGAATATGTTCCTAGTTAAAGTGAAACAGTCAGTGAGAGCTCGAATAATGAAAAGAATCTTGAAAATTATAAATCTAGAAATAGATCGAAAGTAGGAGAAGGGGGGGGGCGTGTCCCTCAAACAGCAACATCTAGTGTTCACTTCGTGAAATAAGATTGATCCTGCTGGGTGGATTAGCACACAAAGGTGGAATATTGGTGCTAAATGAAAGGTTAACCTATTTTCTACAATGTCTCCAAGTTTTATCTTATTTTAGCCACTTATTTGCATGTAACTAATATTTTTGTATATCATGTTGGTTTTTTTCGTGTTAATGCCCAGGAGCTCAGGTTTAGGAGGCAGTTAGGTTCAGGGCCTCAGGTCTGGTAGGGTTAAGTCAGATGTGTTAGGTCAAAACAAAAGATATCATAGCCTATCTTTAAAAAAAGATATCATAGCCTATCTTTTAAACCACAATGGAATGAGCCATCCCCTCTTTTAAGAAAGAACACAGAAGAAAAGAGCTAGCAGACTTTACTTTGTGCACTATTGGGTATAACTACAAGGTCTTGTTTTCAAATCGACATCACGTTTAATTTTTAATTTTTTTACAAGTGACTCTCAGGTTAGTTGCATATCCTTTACATAACGTTGTAGAACCAATCACAGCGTTTTTTCACTGTAGTGGTTTTCTAGGCAAATTTTACGCTCCGTAGTTTACCACTGCTTTCTAAACGGTCAGCTCTCGGTACCACTATGTTATGTTATTTATGTTATGCTATCATAGGTAACGTCACTGCTAATTGGGTATTCCAATGTGTGCTCCATCCTCCAATGCAGCAGCCAATCCAAATTACCTCTACTGATTGTTCACACGAGAAATTGGGGTGCTTTATTAATACATCACACCAAACATGGGAAATACACAGGTCACGGGACAGTCTAATATTTCAGGGGGGGTGGTAGTCGTGGGACCTAGGCTGCATGTATTTGTGGGACCTAGGCTGCACTTTCTCGCGGGACGTAAGTGGATTGGGGTTAGGGCCAGTTCTAGATGTTTTGAGGTTGTTAAAAGCATCAGAAAGCTGGGAAACCTAGTTTTACCACCCTCTAAAATGATGGACTGTCCTGTAACATCATCTGGGGTTGGATATTAATAAAGAACCAAAATTGGTTATAATGTCTCCTAGCATTGCCTCAATGATGGTGTAGATGGTCTTCACCAATGCTTTACTCCCATGTCATGCTATCGTGTTAGTGTCAGAGGTTAGCCATTATCCACCAACCCAGTCTGTACAGCAGTGATGATATCTGCTCAGTTTAAGCTGTTTCCCTCATGCGTTAGTGCATTGCTATCCAGCTGATCCATTCATTCGTTACCTTTCACACCAGCATGGTCAGGTGTATACACTCAGGGCATATATATGCCCAATTTAGTTGAAGGCATGGAAAAAGGATCATTTACTTTTGTACTTTTTTTTTACACAAGAAGCTATAAATACACTTATTGTAATTTGCAAATAATGAAGATAGCCAAAGCTGTTTTTCATGTACACCTTTCTGCTTCTTTTTTAGCCTGTCTTTTTTATTCTCCCACCCCTCATTTTGAAGACTAATATCTCAACTGTATCGTCTCTATTGCTTTGCCACACCCATTTTATTATCACCTTTTTGATCTTATAGAGAGCTCTGGCAACAGTGGTATTTATTTTCTTCTCTGCTCACAAAACTGCCCAGATTTTTCTTAAATTTTTTTAAACCTCATCACTGGCTTCAGTTTCTTCCACATTTAATCCAGGATCCAGACAGAGGTAGACAAGTAAGCAGATAGGCAGGTAGATTAATAGACAGGCAGGCAGACAGTAAAAGACATACCGACAGGTAGAAAGGCAAGTAGATAGATAACTAAGACAGACATACATGTAGGCAAATTAATAGACATGCAGGCAGGCTGACAGTGACAGACAGATATGCAGGCAGATTACCAGACAGATAGGCAGGCTGACAGTAACAGACAAGATGGCTAGTAGATAGAAAGATAGGATGGACCACAGTCAGACAGATGGGAACCATGTAGATAGATGGCTATCTTCCGAAAAATGGTCCCAAATTATCGAGGTCGAAAATATACCCTAACAGGGCCTCAGTCACAAGTAAACTGCGGACTTCCGGTGACTACCGCCACCGCCGAGAGTATCTCCCATGCCGCTACGTGCAGCGCGGAATGGGGCTAAACTTGATGGCTGGGACTCATGAGCAAATAAAATGAAGTAAGCTGCAGGAGATGTGGTAGATGCTGCTCGTGAGTCCGAGCCATCTAGTTTAGCCCTGTTCAGCGCACAGCGGCGTGGGAGATACTTTCAGCAGTGGCGGTAGTCGCCTAAAGTCCGCAATTTAAGTCGCCGGAAGTCCGCAATTTACATGTCACTGAGGCCCTGTTAGGGTATATTTTCAGCCTCGATAATTTGGGACCGTTATTGGAGGATAGCCCAGATAGATAAATTAAATATGATAGATGGGCAGACAGACCGATAGATACGAAGGCAGGTAAATAGAAAGATGGCTTATATTGACAGATATATAGATACAAAACAAATATACAAATAATGCATGATTTCTTACATCAGTCAAAGTTAACCAACAGTGTTCTCCCAGAACGTCTATCATTTGATTTGAATTGGTAATGCGGGAACATTATTCACTCTCTACTACTAAACAAATAAGTTAACACAACTTATACAGTCTTGTAAAAGTAATAATTTTTATACATAAATACTACAGGGCCATTCCAGAAAACATCGTACATAATTTGGCGTCAAAGTGAAAACAAAAACCATCTTTAAAACTTAAACAGACAATAATCTGCAATCTGATTTTAGACCTGTGTCACTGAATGAAACAGTTACAGTCATTTAGAATAGCTAAAAACGTAACAAAGAACTTTAAAATAAAGTACAACATAACTGTCACTCTAATATAATTTCTGAACCTCACAGGACCTATGATATCATTATCCAATAAAAGGACTGACTTATGACTATGTCAATATCCATTTATTAATCGAAACTCGCTCAACTGAACATTTAGAATATTCTGTTATTAATTACGCAGAGTGGATTGTAGGCTACCAGTTAACTTGCAATTTTATCAGTGACTTTGTTAATATTCAGTAATATGTTTTTCTGAGTCCCATATCAAATTAGCATGCCTGTAATGACATTATTTGCCGAATGTTGTTTGGTAATAAAACAGATAGTTGAGATAGGGTTCTTTCAGGCCGCCATTTTGTGTTGCTGATGAAAACAAGCGCTAGATCTCTCCAACAACCATGTCGAGCCAAGTCGTAGTTAGTTGCGTATATGAAACTATTGGTATGTAAGTAAAAGTAAAGTGAAGGCGAATGGGGCATATTTTACGCTGGCCGTCTTTACTTCCCCATGACAAGCACCCTGGTACCCATTTTAGGCTGGGTCGACC